TGTATACTTTATATACATATATATGTAGTAAATGCCCTACTCTTAAAACTTCGTCCAGAACTGTATCAATCCAGGCACAGCTCAATCTAACTTTTCTATCAATATCAGACCGGAAACGATCTCGTCAGCTATCAATGTCAACGCGGACACAAGCTTGTAATATATCAATGCCAAACCAATGGGCACAATCTAATCAGCTGTTAATATCAGCAAGGACACAAGCTTGTAATCTATCAATGCCAAACTAATGGGCACAATTTCATCAGCTATCAATGTCAACAAGGACACAAGCTTGTAATATATCAATGCCAAACCAATGGGCACAATCTTATCAGCTATCAATGTCAACAAGGACACAAGCTATATATGTTACATGTTAAGTTCTTATACGTATTTACAATATTACGCAGATATATATCATCATAGTTAAACTAATCACAATACATAGCTAGTCTAGTTGCACTACAAATTTTGCGTATTTAAGGATTATCACATTTAGATTTATTGACCATGTAAAACGGAATTTATATAGGTATGTTCAAACTGTATTTATTATTATTTTATATGTATATATGTATTTCAGTTCACAATTTATAAAAAAAAAGAATTATACTGAACATAATGTTTCACGCCTTGTGGCGATCCTCTTTTGTCAAAACTCTTTGAACATGAATATATATATATATATACTATGCATACATACATATTTGATTATATATATATATATTAGATACTTGAAAATACAGATGGTGACCGCTCTACTATATAGAATTACTGACCCTTACGCTATATAAAGAATGTGGTATATATGTCCCCCTGCTTGTTATATCTAACTATACAGTTCTAAGGTTCTCTAACTATTCTAACAGGATCCAGGAATGAACCATAATAAGATTTCCAATCACTTCCTTACACTAGGATATTTCTTTACAACAGGGTTACCCAGACTTTAAGGACTATCTTAAAATTTTGCTAGAAATTATTGATGAATTAAAGTCTTTAAAGGGCTAAAAGTGAAATTTTAAGTGTCTCTCCATGCAAAGATGACAATGCCTGATTTACAAGGGTACCCTTTGTCTGATCAAGTATATGAATTAGATATCAATATTTATAATTTTGAAAACTTTTTGGGACTCATGCATGAATTAGAAATCAATGTTTTTATTTGTTTCTTGCTTGTGTTTCTCACAATGGAGAAATTATCAGAATTGAACTCTTTTCCAGTCAGAAAAACGACATTTTCTTCCCCATTTTTGATCAGATTCAGGTTTCAAGTGTTCCGTTGAAGTTTACAGTACCTCTTTAACCTATTATTTCAACAAATGTAAAAATATTTTAAAAACTGTATTTTGAATCGTAAATGACAATGCATGTAGCTACAGGGTTATACATAAAAAAATGAGGCTTTAGAGACGACTGTACGGAATTTTTACTATCTGTTTCATTATATTATAGATTTGATTGAAGGACTGAAAGTAAAATACCATGATTGAGTGGAATAATCAAACATGGTTACACAATATACACAAACTATATTTACAGTTTAATTATACAAACTGATGATGACATGATCGATTAACTTTTCTTCAAGACAACATTCGCCCATAGTAGCGAATGCATATTCTGTGGAACTTCTCCTATTCTATTCTCCTGACGAGTTCTGGGGCATAAGATGGCCGACGAAACTGCTTTCTACCTCGGCTCTAGAAAAGTCCCCTTATACTCCTTTCTCCAGCATCGATCTTCCCTTAGCTCCGACCTTTTAACGATCTATCAGATAAGGGTTAAATACTCAGGCGGCAAACACACAACGGGTTCATTATCCTCTTGGACTTGGGTTTTAGATTGTTTGGCTTTATTTCTCCGCTTGGGAGTAATGAACGGTACTATAAGTCTATAATATACAAGTTTTAGAACCCTTGGTTGGGTTCACGATATCCAAAATTCCATGCAACTCTAATCTTTCTTTTTTTGCAAAATTTTTTAATAAGTCAGCCTTGACTATATTCAATGCACATGACTTAATTTTACCTTATGATCATACCTTGGGATCCTCGACTACTCTTAAAAATCTTAAACCCAAAGTATATCCCTTGTAGCTGCAACCTGATGGAGATTTTAATAGAAGTTGCATGACAGGCTGAAATGGAGAAATCTAAATTTCACAATTTTATTAATATTATTAAAACATACCCCCCCCCCCAAAAAAAAAAAAAATATATTAACAACTTGCAAGGTTTGTTCATTTTCAATGATACATTTTAATTTTTACAAAGTAAACTATCAATTCTTCAAAATTTCTAGTTTTTACATTCTGTGAACGGTTTATCTGTTTTTGAGAAAAGAAATGTGAATTTCCCAATCTGGTTCCGTTGTGACAACCATGTATTGGAAATTCTAAATTGAAAATAGAATATTTTTTCCCTCTCCGAGATAGGATCAGGTTCTGATATTTTAAAGAATTCTACATTTGTATTCTCTTTTAGCTTGAATATTACAATACATTCACAGTATCCAAATTTCTGGAAAATATCTATTCTGTTTTTAGATTGAGTAGACTCGTACAAAATTCATATAGAAGAAAAGAACCAAGCATAACAAATATCTATTTTTTTTCAGGATAAATAAAACAATTTTTTGCTCTAAAGCGACTAATGACAAAATTTTTAATGACTGACCATTAACAAATTAAAATCTTTGCATGACCAAAAAGATGTTATAATAAGTTATAAAAAAATAAGCGATCATTTTTCGCATTAAGCCTATACCTCCTTTCATTTTTCGCGAACTCTCCCTTTAAAGGGAGTTACTGGCAATGTATGGTAGTTAAACTGAGAATGTATGTTGTGGAGAAATTATTTAAGACCTTTGAGACGTTTTTACGGTGCACATTTGTCCAGCAAGAGCGCAAATTTAATCCTCATAGATTGTTCATTTTTGATGGATAATTTTGAGAATCGGCTTTTAAAAATTATTCAATAACGACGACGAAAAATATTCTACAATAAACTAATTAGTTGTTTAGGTACAGCTTGAGAAAATTAAAATTAATCATTATCATCGAAAATGAGCAATCCTATTCAGCAATTGTTTTTTTTTCTCTAATTGTTCACAAAAGTTTTCTGTAGATTTCGTGGAATTTTTATTGAAAAGACGACATTTCAAGAATTTAAAGAAATCTGTAAACTTTATAAAGAATAAGAAATTCAGTATAATGATGAAAAAGAAATATTTGATACTAACATTGATTTATTGAGAACATTTTAATTGAGAAATATGTTTCGAAACATCTAACTAGTTTACTATAGATATTCTTTACGATTTTTGTCTTCGTTTTTCAATGATTTTACAGAAATCGATTCTCAAAACGTATCCACCCAAATGGATGATTTTAAACGTCGACTTTGGGCTCAAACTCAGTAATTATACAAATTAAAACGTTTTTATATGTCTCAAATGAATTCTAAAAAAAATCTCCACAATTCTACACTCTCAGTTCAAGTAACATATATTGTCGGTCGCTCCCTTTAATATAAAAGTTTTTATGCAGCGAGAAAATTTTTCAAATGTTGAAATTACGTGTTCAGCCTTTTTAAGCTAGATGCGGTAAGTGACAGTCAACAAAATACGTTTATCAAAACTTTCAAAAATCTAAATTTTGAAATTATGAAAATCTATATCTAAGACAATATCAGAATTAAAGTTGTTAGTTCACAACTTATGAATAAATTGAATTACAGTCATATGTATAATCTCTAATCTAATATCTGAACCAATTCTGTGTGTTCCACAAATAAATCATAATAATATATATAAAATTGTAATCTCTGTTTGTCTGTCTGTTTGTTTGTCCGATCATAACTCAGGAACCCCTGGACCAATTTGCCTCAACATTTCATTGGGGAACTCGGGTGAACCGCGTGAATGTTCTTAGCTTGGTTTTGAGATTCTAAATTGAGTGGGTCGACTTCAATTGCGAAAACGTAGTTTCCAGGTCAAATTGTGCAAGTGCGGGTAAACGGCGGGAGCAACTCCCAAGCTAGTTTGAAATTAACGGATAGTCCTTTATATTTGGCAAATAAACAGTTTACATATTTATAAACTTTTTACATCATCACAATTTTTATAATATATATATATATTTACATAACAGTAACATTTAGACAAGGGTTTTAAATAGTATTCTTTGATTAAAAGAAGAGCTAAAAGTCCGATGAGCCTTGGAAAGTAACCCATAGATATATGAATTTACTTTGCAGTGCAGAAAATTTTATAATCCCTTTATCTTGAAAACCTAATGTCTATTTGATCTATCAGGGTTCATATTTTGAAATACCAAAGATCTACGGCATTATATTTCATATGATACTAGATAGAGGGATTCGAAAATTTGAAAACTTATTTTATTTGTTAGCAAATCTTTTCAAATTTATCTATGGAGAACCAAGAACAAGGTTCAATTTTTATCTGTCAGCTTATATTTCATATTAAAGGGACAGTAAGCGTAATTTCAATGGACCCCCCATTTAAAGCTAACAATATCCGACTTAAAACGGTAAAAACCTTTATCTGATCAATAATGTGGAAGATATTGTCGATTTTCTAGGTTCAAGAGTGTTTTATTCTGAATATTTATAAAAAAAAATTCCTACAACAGAAATGTGCAAGTCACTTTATAATATGTACCTTACAATGGAAAATAATCATTTTTTAAAATTATAAACAATTATATCTTATTCATAATTTGTCAGACATTGTCATATTTGCAGAAAGGGTAACTTGAGATTACGTTTACAATTTCATAAAGTACAAAAAAGGTCATTTAGTACATGCATGCAGAATTTAAAAAAAATCTTTTATAGTTATTCCTTTTAAAATAGAAAATTTTCAACAACAAAAAAAAACAATTTGGTTTATACAACATCATACAACATCATACAACATCATACAACATCATACAACATCATACAACATCATACAACATCATACAACATCATACAACATCATACAACATCATACAACATCAAACAAACTGAACACTTGCCTAAAACTAAAATTTTATCATTCTAAAATCTTTTTAATCTCATGCCTTAGACCTTTGAAACTTCACACAATAAATGCTTTTAAATCAAATAGTCCAAGATGGAAATTCAAAGGTTTACACAGTCAGGTTGCAAAGATATAGGGATTAGAAAATTACTGTTTTAGACAGGCGTTGAGTTCCTTAATCAAATTTGTGCGCGTTAATAAGTATTTATCCTCACACATTCTTTTCTTCGAAAATTAGAGAGCGTAGAAAACCTAATTAAATTGCGTGGGGTAGAGTTTTGTAAAATATATATACCCGGCAGGGTGACACTATCTACAAATATTCCACTATATCACACTTAACAGCAATATTTGGGCACGAGACCAGTTTAGATAATTGCCGCGTATCCTCTCCATCCAACAACCTTTGAAATATTGGCGCGGCAGTCACGGCAGAGTTCTTCGTCTTTGTTTTTGGTCGTTTTATGCTTCCCTTCATTTCCAGCTCCTGGTGAAGAAAATAGGTTTAACATTTTTTAGGCAAAAAAAAACCATATTTAAAGTAAAACTAAATTTTGTATTTAAATCACATCACTTTAGGTTTTCCATTTAAACTATTGGGTATTGTACAAAACAGTGTAGGCCGAATAAAAAACACGATTATAAAAATAAAAATAAAAACAGAGACCTTGATCTAAATGTCGTTGTTAATGAAATGGAATCTTTAGCACAAATATATAATTGTCTCATCTTTGAATCCTGATTATGTAAACCTTTGATATTTCAAACAGAATTTATAGTTTGAACCTATAAGGTCTACTGCAATAGTTTGTAAAGATATAGGGATTAGAAAATCAAAGTTTGTGGCAAAGACTCCATTACTTTCGCACAGTAACAAAAATTATACTATTACACTGTATTATCCATGAAGTTCTTTAATAAGGTTGGTTAATGTATGGAAAATGTTGTCTCCTAAGATAAAAACTCATATGACGTCACTTTTGCCTCTATTTTCAGTCACGTCATATAAGGTTTTTATCTATCTTTCTTAGGAGACCACATTTTCCGTACGTTGGAGCGCATTGAGAGTAACCAACCTAGCTTTGAATTATCTGACCTGCTGATTTATTTTCAAGCTTTGAAATCCTGAACTCAACTCCTCTTGTGATCTAACTTGACTCCAGAGAACTCCTCCTAAAAAACAGCAAAAAATTCAAATATAAATGTCAAAATTTATAGCTGATATCATCAAATTTATAGAACTTTATAAAATTTAAATTTAAATAAAAATAAATATGTTTAAATAAGGAAGACAAGCAGATTGTTCAGATCAAACTTGAATAATGAAAACACATCAAAGGAATTGAGTCTTTGTCACAAACTGTGATTTTATAACTTCAATATCTTTGTAACCATAGTCGTAAACCTTAAATATTTTCAATTATGAATTCTGTCAGATCAATTAAATTTTAAATTTTAAAGGTTTTCGCCATATAGGGATTAGAAAATTTAAGTTTGTGGTGAAGACTCAATTATTTTCTCATTAAAAGATGGTCACATGAATTCACGCAAAATTTTTTAAAAATTTTCTAATGTTAGTTATACACCGAAGACAAAATCTTGTTTTTGATGAGAAATATTGTTCTGTCTCTCCAATAGCTAATCTGCAATTTAGTTTGTGTCCGACAACTTTTAATCAATTCCCCCTCAATTCCCCTTCACTTTATAATATCAATCTAGTTAGTGGTGACTACTGTTACTCAATTATTTGCAACTTCTCTCTATGCCAGTCATTTGTCAATCTTATCGTGCACCTCCCCCCCCTCCCACTTCATAATGGTGAATGTAGGAAGTGATGGTAAATGTTTAAGAAATGTGAAAGAAGAAATCTTGCAAAAAAAATTGTATTTTAAGTACGGACAAATTCCACTTTTGTCACGGAAAGGCATACTCATTCTTTTTAACTCTTGCTTTAGAGATTTAAAAAAAAAATATCTTATAAAACCTTTCTTTTAAAATTTAGATAGGGTAGAGGGGAACGTTTTTATTTTATATTATAGTTGGCAAAAAAAACTTTAGAAATAGAAAAATAAAGGTTTGAAACTTCAGGAAAAGAAAAATAAATGAAAAAAGTTTAGAGAAATGTAATCAACATCAAAGTAAACTCGGATTAGGATATTAAAGTTTACTTAATTAAATTAAAATATCATAAATAAAAAATCAATTTTTGATTTATTTTTAAAAACTCTTCCCCCTCCTCAAAGAATGCTAGATTCGCAAAATTAATGATTTCTTCAACTTTGGAACCGTTAATCTTACAGAATTTAGAGTTCAAAATAAAATGAAAAGATCTACGCCATCAGTTATCTATTTGTTTCAGTCATGGACTAAAGAATACGGGGTACCTAGTTTCTTCCTTTCATGGATTGAGGAACCAAAATTACTGTAAGAAAAGTATTCGAGAAAAGTCTGTAAAAAAAATCACCAGAAAAAATGGAAAATTAATTGATTTATTAGCTAAAAATTCATTTCAATAAGAAAGGGGAAATAGTCAAATAAAAAGCCATTATTATCTTCAAAATAATTTGTAATACACAATTAGTTTTCTTATGACATGGTTGGTGATAGAAATTCAAAGTTACAGGGATTAATTAAAATTTCTACCATTTTTGAAGTTTGTTGGTCGTCTGAGTTTAATCGGTGGATCATCTTCTGCTTCATCATCAGTTTGTGTTGCTTGATCCTCTAGAGTACTTTCTCCCTGGTCGGATACACATCCAACCCTAACCATGACACCATTGTACGATTATTCAACTCTTTTTAACAACTTAAAAGTTTTTTCCTGATTAATTATAGTTATAAATATCAATCAATAATTAAGAAAACTAAATATTTTCAATTGTGGTTTCTCTACAAAAGTAGCGAGTGCATTTCTGCTGCAGGATATAATCGAGGAATTATCACAATTGAACAGTTTCAAAGCTAGAAAAACGACAATATCTTCCACATTATTGACCAGATAAAGGCTTCAAGGGCACCGTTTTAAATCGGGCATTGTCATCTTTGCATGATAGGGCACATGCAATTACACTAACAGTCGCCTTAACATTGAAAAAAAAATCCAAAGCTTTGTTTTAACCCCTTTCCATCAAAAACTCGCGACAGTGCAAATATTCAAATGTTCACAGAACCATTTCGAATATATCTTTGTAAACTGATTTCGTAGATCTTTGTGATTGAAAACTCTAAGTCATGTATTTTTTAAAACATAACATTATGAAAGAGATTTAGGTATTCTTCAAGAAACTTATTTTTTGAGAAAATTTGCTTTTGTAAAACAAAGGAAAAGTTCTGTAAATAATAGTAAAGTTCAGCTTAAGCTCGACTATTTTTATTTGAGTTGTTTTAATTCCTGGCTCTGAATTGACTTTTTATTTTCTATATTTTTCCTATATTTGTGATAAAGGATCCGAGATAAAGAAAATAATATCATGATATTAAGAATTATATCCGGGATCGTAATTAAAAATCTCAGAATACGGATTATTTTAGATATAAGATATTTTTCTATCTGTATGTAAAAAACGTAGTTAATATCTATTTACACAGAGTGTCTCTAAAAAATCTTAATTTTGAACCGATATCGTTTTTTTATGTTTTGACTTAAAAATTTTTTATTTTATTTAAAGGACAGATTGAATAGATTTCATTCCAAATGTATTATGTAATTTTAGCCGCGTTGTGTTCATTTCTATTAGGAATTTGACTCTGGAATTCCACTTTCCCCCTCCTTTCTTCTACCCCCCCCCCTTTCCATTCTCTTCCCTCCCTTCGTACAGTGTAAAGTTTGTTTAAACTTATCTCTATGTTATGTCATTTAAAGTTGATATATTTAGCAAACTTTATTAGTCGTGCAGTGCAGAAATGTCTTTTCAAAGTTAAGAGAAAGTTAAAGATTGTAAATTGGTGTTTCCTGTAATAAGTATTCTCTTCATCTACAGCATCTCCGAATCCTTCCTCTGTATAGTGCTCGCTCCCATGCCTACAGCAGGACTCGGAGAGATGAGAATTCGAGGAATCCAGTCCTCTAGATGCTCGATGCGAGCACTCAATGTTAAGAGGAGAGGAGTGGGAGCAGTGAAGTTGACTCTCATTGTGGAAACAGCTGATTGGAAGCTCTTGGTCTGCACTGCTACAGCTGCAGCTGCTGGGAGAGTTCCAACCTGAGGGTGGAGCAGGAGGCGGAGAGATCCAACCTTCCTCCGGAGGTAAACCAGGGGAATCCCAGATATCCTGGTTAGGTGGGGTGTGCCATCCTACCGGAGAGTGTAAAACCGGATGTCTAACATGACAAGGACAGCTTTGTCTCCTGGATAGATTAGATTTGTCTCCGCTCCAGGTGCCCGCAGCAACTTGGAAAATCTGTAAATATGTTTTCTCACAGTCATCAGAAATAGCATCAAAAGAACAACATTATATATAGTCAAATTCAAACAATATAATAAGATAAAATTTTACCTGATTAGATTGACAACCAGATTCAAGGTTGTCTGAAAGATTTAAATCCTGGGATCGGCATTTAACCGAATATTCCTGGTTTGTTCTGTCTCCTAGTAGACCAGGATTAGCGGGATTGACCCGTTCAGAGAGTTGTCTAGGAAGCATTTGTACAGAGTTATTATCAGGTTGTGTATCATTAATGGGGGAAAATATTTTCTCTCTTGATTGATTGATTGATTGCAGCGGTGTCTCCTTCTCCACGTTATCCTGATAAGTTTGATTCATATCACAGTTAGTTGAGTGTCCAACACTCAGTTTTCCGTCATTCAAAACCATTCCATTGGTTGAACTCTTCTCCTTGATTGAACCTGGTCCGTCAGGTCTCATCTTACCCAGAGGAGGAGAGTTAGGTCCCAGTTTCCGGGTTTCACTAAAACAGTTTTCGTTTTAAATTAAAGAAATTAAGAGGAACCTTGCAAAGGTATTTGCAGGAACCTTGAAAAGTTATTTGCAGGAACCTTGCAAATGTATTTGTAGTAACTTGCAAAGGTATTTGTAGGAAATTTGCAAAGGTATGTAGAAATCTTGCAAAGGTATGTAGAAACCTTGAAAAAGTATTTGTAGAAACCTTGCAAAGGTATTTGTAGAAACCTTCTTGAAAAGATATTTACAGGAACCTAGCAAAAGAATGTTGTAGGCAAATTGCAAAGATATTTGAAGGAACCTTGAAAATATATTTGTAGGAACTTGCAAAGGTATTTGTAGAAACCTTCTTGAAAAGATATTTACAGGAACCTAGCAAAAGAATGTTGTAGGAAAATTGCAAAGATATTTGAAGGAACCTTGAAAATATATTTGTAGGAAACTTGCAAAGTTATTTGAAGGAAGTTGCAAAGGTACAGTTAAACCCTAAATAAACCATATATACATCTAAAGAATTCATCAAATGTCGTATTCTTCACTTTCTGATAATGGAATGTTGCACTTATTTAGTTTTTTGATTAAATGATTATATGGAGCTCTTTAAAACTGTTCCCGCATATTTATGGCTATTTATTTATTTTCGCAAATACTGAGATTAACGTAAAATAGTATAAAACCCATTGAAAAATTGTCAAGACGACATTTCATAAATTCTCTCGATGTATTTAATATTTAGGGTTTAACTGTATGAAATTTGCAAGAAGAAATTAAATTAGTTCAATTCACTTCATTTTTTTATTGCGTGAGATTTTGCAACTTTTGGATTTGAAATTTTGACTTTTGTTTTGAACATGATAATTTTTTTGGAAAAAACATCAGAAATAAAAATAAAAATAGAAATCTCCAAATCCCTAAATATTAATATCGATGTTTTGATGTCAGAAGATGAGATCAAAGGTCTAATATTATAATTTGGGCAAGCTATCTGCATTTCTATTTCTTTCAAGTTGATTTTATAAACAGTGCCCTTAAGAGCTTAATGATTAACAAAATGAATAAGATGTACAGCATTCTTTCCTTGAATATTGATTATTTCGTTTGTGGTTTCTGTGGATTTTTGATCAGGCCACAACGAACAAAATTTTTCCGAATAAAAACATGTTTCAACTTAAATTAAGTTAGATAACGGATAAAAGGGTACTGTTGTGAATCGGGCATTCCCTTGAAATGACTGTTCCTTTAAACTTACTCTGAGTCTGCGCTCTCCTTGGAGCTGCTGGGTTCAGATAAACAGAAACTATGTTCTCCTTCTTCTACTCTAACCAGGGATACGTCACCTAAACATATTGAAATTTATCAGATTTTTTCTTGCAGGGGGGGGGGCCGGGGGGTTGATGCTTTTTATTAATGAGGTTTCATTTAAAGAGAATGACCGGCAATGTATGGTACAATTAAACCCTAAATAAGCCATACATCGGAAGAATTTATCAACTGTCGTCTTGACAATTTTTCAATGGGTTTTATACTATTTTACGAAAATCTTAGTATTGGCGAAAATAAATAAATAGCCATAAATATGCAGGAACAGTTTTAGAGAACTCCATTATAATCATTTAATTAAAAAAACTAAATATCTGCAACATTCCATTATCAGAAAGTGAAGAATACGACATTTGATGAATTCTTTCGATGTATGGCTTACTTAGGGTTTAACTGCAGTTTTACTGAGAATGTAGTAAAGTATAGAAGTTTTTTAGGATTCATTTGAGACAATAAAACATTTTAATGATGAATAATTACTGAGTTTGAGCGTAAAGCCGACATTCAAAATCATCCATTTGGGTGGTTACGTTTTTTTAAATTATTAAATAACGATAACGAAAAATGTAAAAAAAATCTACATTTTACTAGTCACATGTTTAGGAACTTAAAATGTTTAAAATAAATGAATGTTAGCAACAATTATTTATTTTTCATCATTATATTGAGTTTTTGATTCTTTACAAATTTTATCGTAGATTTCTTCAAATTCTTCAAATGCGTTTTTTCAATAAAAATTGCAGTAAATCTACAATACATGTGTGAGAACTATGAGACATTACAAAAGCTAATAACTGAATAAGATTACTTATTTTGGATGATAAGAGTTAATTTTTGTTTTCTCAATCTGTTCCTAAACAACTTACAGGGTGTCCCACGAAACATGACAGTATGCAGGACGACTTAGTTAAAGTAGATAGAAGACTAAATGTCACAAATAAATTCAAATACCAAAGACGACTTTCAAGTCGTCTTCCTATTGTCATGTTTCGTGGGACACCATGTATTAGTTTTAAAATTCGGTGATGGTGATGGACCAAACCTCTGTAGAGTAAAAAAGTAGATGTTAGTTCCACATTTATTGAATATATATTTCGGTCTGGGTTGACCCTCGTCAGTTCTAACGATATAATAACCATCAAAATCGATAAAAAATAAAAGAATGTAAAAAATCACAAGAAGATAAACAAACAAAAAAGATTATTCAAAATAAAAATTTACTGTCGTATTTTTGTTACATTTTTCGTTGTGGTCATTGAATAATTTTTAAAAACCGATTCTCAAAATCATCCCTCCATGATGTACTTTAAAGATTGAATTTGCGCTCTTGCTGAACAAATATGCACCGTAAATACTCAAATGAATACTAAAAATTACTAATACTACATTCTCAGATCAACTACCATACATTGCCAGTCGATCCCTTTAAATAGATGTCATTAATCCATAATCTTAATAAAAACCTTGGTTATGCATAACTCAGGAGTTTATAAAATTATTTTTTAATTCAGAACTATTATGTTGTGAATTTTGAAAATATAAATCCTCATCGACAACCCTTGGTAATCATGCCCTGCAGGGATAACTGAAAATTTTCTATTCTTCTCAACTTAAAATACCCACATTGAATATCGAGATCAAGCATTCAGAATAAATGACACTTTACACAAAATTTCCGACCTTAGGTAATTTTTATGCTTTCTTTTGTATTTGTATATTTTATGCAACTTGAATGGTTTGTTTTCTAACCAATAGGTTTGTAATTTGGAACGTGTATTGAGGATAAAGGTTGGAATATGCAGATTGTATGGGTATTGGTTAAACACAATAAAAAGAATGTTTAGGCCAGGTCCAGGATAAGAAAATACAATGGCGGGGGGCTTAAATAGAACCTTCGCTAGATCGATATTATGAAAGAAGAACATGGCCTGGCATAATAATAAGAAAAAAAGAACTAGACTAAAGACAATGTAAGATACTTCTAAGAGATAACCTGGGTTTCCCACGAAACAGAACAGTTCAAAAAGTGGACATAAAGATCATCTTGGATTTCAAAATTAATTTGCAGGATTTATTCTTTAACTATTAAGACACTAATGAAAAAATAGCCCTAGCCAATTTTTTGTAATTTTAAAATTTTTTGTTTAATTTGAGAAATTGACATTTAAACGATCTCTTTTGTTTTATTTGTTTCAAGAATCATATTTATAACTTGACGGATGGATGCTGAAGATTATTTTATTATTACTTAACTTATACTATGTCCACACTCTCTATAGTAAATCTGGAAGATGTATGGGACGTTAGTTGGCCGATACAAGACAAGGAAAACAAGCTGCAGGAGGAAAAATGAATAAATATGTAGAAAATATGATTATCCAACAATAAGATGCACATTCAAACATAGATAAATAAATAAACATAGATAGCTTATGTACGCAAAATCACCAAGAATTGTACAGTCCGTGAACTCATACTTCTAAGGGTCAAAGTGTACTTCAATGATAAGCGGGATGGTTTAGTGTTTTAATGGATTTCATAATATAGTGTAAAATAACTCCGGGAATGGAACTATTTTAACAACAATATTTCACTGAGCAATATATCATATTTCTCTCTACAGAACTCATGTACACCACAAGTACTCAATGACATAAGAACAGCCAATGTTCACAACCGACCTAGTTAATCTATATAATAGGAATATCTTTAAAACATCTCTGTACATTTTTATCTTTCAAGATGAAAAATGTCGTCTTATCTATGCATTCAAAGCCTTTCTTGACACTAGAGCAGCGTTCAACAAGTTTTGTCTTTCAAACTAATTAAATTCAATTGATTTTAGCGAAGATATTTATGCCTGATTTACAACATAGTAACATAAAAGCTTTGTCTGATGCATTAGATATCAATAAATTAAATATTTATAAATAGATTAGATATCAATAAATTAAATATTTATATATTGATTAGATATCAATAAATTAGATATTTATATATTGATTAGATATCAATAAATTAGATATTTATATATTGATTAGATATCAATAAATTAGATATTTATAAATAGATTAGATATCAATAAATTAGATATTTATATATTGATTAGATATCAATAAATTCAAAAAACGATTATTTTCAATTGCGCATTTTACTGCAGGAAAACATATAGGATTTATCAGAGTTGAACACTTTGAAACCTAGAAAAATAACAATATCTTCCATATTATTGATCAAATAAAGACTTAAAGTTTACTGTTGTGAATCGATCGGACATTGAAAGTTTTGCATGGAGGGTCACATTAAATCCCTTTAAGCAATTATTTCAGTTTGCATCTTATGTCTTTTTTTTTAATTTGGGAAAGTTCAAACCAGAATTAGAATGAAAATGATGAGATCAATCTTCTTTTCAAAGTAATTTCCCTTGTAAAAATAAAATAAAGGAACTGTAATTTCAAGTGACCCTCCATGCAAATATAGAATTCCTGTTTTTATCTTTATCTGATCAAAAATGTGGAAGATAAAGTCGTGTTTTTGACTAGAAAAGTGTTTTGTTCTGATAATTTCTTCATTATATCGTAAGAAAAAAATATGCATGTCACTTTTGTGAAGAAACCACTAGGAAAAACAAACAGTTTAAGTAGACTTAAACATGAATATCCAATTTATATTTAATCAGACAAAGCTTTCAAGGGTACCGTACCGTTAGAATTCGGGCATTGCCATCTTTTCATGGAGGGTCACTAGCAATTACGCTTACAGTCCTTTTAAACAAGGATAAATAAATGTAGAGAGTTTAGTGATATAATGTGAGCTGTGTAACTAAGGTTTAATGGATTCTATTCAAACTCTCTCCTTCAATTAATGAATCTTCTGTATCATTTTCATTCTAATCAAGTTCAGATGAGAATGCATCTTTTTCATGTAAAACAAAACATTTTGTTGAAGTTTTCTGATAAAATAAATTTTTTAAAACTTACTTTGTTAACTTCTAGAAGTTGGGAACTTATGAGCAAAAGGTTTAGCTTCTGGTTCAAATTAAGAAAGTAGCTGTAATAAGCCGTTCAAAATATTTATTTCTTTAATAAAATTTCCATTTCTTACAACTATTTTGTTTCAACAAAAGCAACGTAAAAGTACTACTTTTGGTGTACCTTATAATCAAATCAATTTTTAAATAGAATAGCTGGGTTGGATTGATTGATTGTACCTTTAGGTATATCTAGAGCTCGTTTAGTTCCTCCGTTCTGTAGAATAGCTTGAGCTTCATCTCCAACCTGTCTATACATTGACTCAAGGATCTCATCTTTCTCCAACCTTAAACCCTGATACTTACTCTTCACCTAAACATAAACTTTTTCTTGAAACCTGATACTTACTCTTCACCTAAACATAAACTTTATATTAAACCCGGATACTTACTCTTCACCTTAACACAAACATTATTTTAGACCCTGATACTTTCTCTTCACCTGAACAGAAACATTATATTAAACCCTGATACTTACTCTTCACCTAAACATAAACATTATATTAAATCCTGATACTTACTCTTCACCTAAACATAAACATTATATTAAACCCTAATACTTACTCTTTACCTGAACATAAACATTATAATAAACGCTGATACTTACTCTTCACCTATACATAAACATTATATTAAACCCTGATACTTACTCTTCACCTAAACATAAACATTATATTAGACCCTGATACTTACTCTTCATCTAAACACAAACATTATATTAAACCCTGATACTTACTCTTCACCTGAACATAAACATTATATTAAACCCTGATACTTACTCTTCACCTGAACATAAACATTATAATAAACCCTGATACTTACCCTTCACCTGAACATAAACATTATAATAAACCCTGATACTTACTCTTCACCTCAACAGAAACATTATAATAAACCCTGATACTTACGCTTCACCTAAACATAAACATTATAATAAACCCTGATACTTACTCTTCACCTAAACATAAACATTATATTGAAACCTGATACTTACTCTTCACCTAAACACAAACATTATATTAGACCCTGATACTTTCTCTTCACCTGAACAGAAACAATATATTAAACCCTGATACTTACACATCATCTAAACATTATATTAAACCCTGATACTCACTCTTCATCTAAACACAAACATTAAAATAAACCCTGATACTTACTCTTCATCTAAACACAAACATTATAATAAACCCTGATACTTACTTTTTACCTGAACAAAAACATTATATTAAACCCTGATACTTACTCTTCATCTAAACACAAACATTATTTTAAACCCTGATACTTACTCTTCACCTGAACAGAAACATTATATTAAACCTTGATGATTACTATTCACCTAAACATAAACATATTCTCGCTATTCATTAAATTAGATAAAATCAGCCGTACCTGTTCTATCTTTGTAATTTGATAATTTAGATTTTTTTTTCTTATAAATCCTTTATTTGAAATTGGTATGAAATTTCTGGAACTCTTACTTCCTTTAGTATAATTTAGACATTTTAACAAGTTATGCAATTTTGCATAACTTACTCCATTTTTTTCTTGTTCAATTATTTTTAAACAAGTGTCCAAATATTGCTAAGAGAAGAGAATTAATCATTTTACTTATATTTAAAGTTTAGCTTGTAATTGCCGTTAAACAGGTTAAACGTGAAGTTTATTATGTTTAACATAAATTTCAACATGTTTAACATAAAGTTTTAAAGGTTAACTTAAAATTTAACATCTTTTTCATAAAGTCCAACATGTTCAACATTAAGCTCAACATGCTTAACGTGAAGTTCAACATGTTTAACATAAATATCAACATGTCAAACAAAAAGTTCATAATTTTCCACATAAAATTCCAAAGGAGTTGAGTTTTTGCCACAAACTCTGATTTTCTAATCTCTATATCTTTGGAACCCAATGTCGTAGACCTTAGATATTTCAAACTATTAATACTTATAGATAAAATAATCTAAGTTTGAAATATTAAAGGTTTGCACCATAAGATTGGAAAGATATTGGAATCAGAAGATTTTAGTTTGTGGCAAAAACTCAATTCCTTTGTATCATAAATGTTTTAATGTACCTTATTTGCAATCCTAAGTTTATCATCTAGAGATTGTAGAGTAGAGTTAACCTTGACTTTGTTACCCCCGGATCTAATGTGAGGTTTCTCTTTGGCCGATACACCCAATGGATCCCGTCGTAGTTCTATTATCTAAACAAATATATCATACACTAGCTCAAGTGTCCGGCGTTGTCCGTGGAATGAAAAAGAAAACCTTGAAAAACATCAAATTTAAAGAATGGTCGAATATTTTAGCCTATGTCTTCGGCAAAAAATGTCAAAAAATTGGTCTAGTCGTCTGACCAGCTATAGCTTACATATATATATATCTATATATAAATAAAGTTGTAATCTCTGTTTGTCAGTTTGTTTGCCCGATCATAACTCGGGAACCCCTGGACCGATTTACCTCAAATTTTAATTGGGGAACTTGGGAAAGCCGCGGGACTGTTCTAAGCTAGGTTTCAAGATTCTTGTTGAGTGGGTCGGAAAAAAACTTAAAGACTAATTTACGACAAGGGGCGTGTATTATTCTGGAGTGGGTCGACAAAGGGCGGGTTAACGGTGGGATTAATTATGACTCCCCTGGTTCACGCTGGGGTTCCAAGCTAGTATATATATATATATTATAAATATATATGAAGGAAGAGCTTTATTATATAGATTTAGTGATTGCCTCATCAATATTTCTTGTCAGTTGTGATCCAACATAGAAGAAAAAGAAGGATAAGTTGAGGAAGAGCCAAAATTCCGATTACTTTGTTTTGTTTCATAGTCAACAATTTTCCAAAAAAATATATTAATTATCCAAAAAAAATTGTTAGTATTTTTTTGTAATGGTGGGTCATTTGATTTACAGCGGACAATCCCTTTAACTTTAATAAACAGCTAAAAATCAAAATAGAATTAAAATCAAGTAGTGGGTCACAAATTTAAAAGGTTTAGAACGAAACAAAATTAAGTTTTTATTTAGCTCAATGTTTCCTTAATGAGTGCTTTGTATAAACCCTCCGTTAAAATATATCCTAATTAATTTTCTTCTTGAACTTAAATCTGAAAGTTGTCCCATCACCCCCGAATTAGACCCAAATTGGAATATGGTTAAAGGGAGTGTTCGCGAAAAATGAAAAGGGGAATATGGTTAAGACCACCCCGGACTAACGCATTCGGTTTCTTCTATTTGAAATCATACGCGTTTTGGTTTATGTTTAAACAATCTTTAAAGTTACGGATTTGTTTGTAAAATACTTTGTATTCAAAACATATATGCCGGCAAAAAAGTATTTAGGAAAGAAGGCTGAAAAATTATGTTTAATAGGAGAAATTGTGATCGAAAGTCGTAGCTTTCTGGAATATTGACAGAACCAATAAATCCACGTGAGACGGTGGGACATCTTAAGGATATTGCTCCTTAATATATGTCGGAATTTTTAATCATATCTTTTAATTATTTTTTTACACATTTTTTATTTTCATATTAAGCCACCAGTTATTGATACATAGCGTTATTTCTTTACCCATAATAGTTATCCCAGGATACAGACAGCAAATAGAAAGTTAGAAAACAAATCAAACATTTTTGATTTATATAGATAATATAAGAGATGACGTCAAATAATCTTGAAAATAATATAAACTATAAGTCAGAATGGCAGAATGCTTCTTCTCTAATATCTTAAAAACAGCTTTTAAAGTTCTTATACTTAATTCATAATAAGAGTCAACTGACGATTAGAGTGTAAAGTAGGTTGTAAATAGTACATGTATATTGTACATTTTAGAATGTTAATTAGGTTGTAAATAGTACATGTATATTGTACATTTTAGAGTGTAAATTAGGTTGTAAAAATTACATTTATATTGTACAGTTTATAGTGTAAAGTAGGTTTTAAATAGTACATGTATATTGTACAGTTTAGAGTGTAGAATGTGGAGTGTAGAGTGTAGAGTGTAAGTGCAGAGTGTAGAGTATATTGTGTAGAGTGTAGAGTGTAGAGTGTAGAGTTTAGTCAGTAGAGTGTAGAGTGTAGAGTGTAAAGTGTAGAGTGTACAGTGTAGTGTGTAGACTTGAGAGTGTAGACTGTAGAATTTAGAGTGTAGAGTGTAGAGTGTAGAGTGTAGAGTGTAGAGTGTAGAGTGTAGAGTGTAGAGTGTAGAGTGTAGAGTGTAGAGTGTAGAGTGTAGAGTGTACAGTGTAGAGTGTATAGAACTAGTCCCAAGAGGAGTATTAAATAAACTAACTTTAAACTTACTTTTATAGTTTAATCTTCTAAACTATTTGCAAACTATTTGAAGCAGGTCTTGGAGCAATCTATAGGTAGGATAAGCTCGTAGGTAGTAAAATGTAAAGGCAACTTTGGTCCTGAGACCAGATTTTATGAATTAAAGGACATAGTTCAACCACGTTCGTAAACTAAACTTCAGCTTTACCCGCCAAACAGAGAATTGGTTCAAATACATCTATCTCGCTATTTATTATATTTAGATAATCTTAGGAGAATTAGGATAGTTAAATTAATTAAGTTAACCATGGACTTGGTAAAACCTTTTTTGAGATGAGCTTTAAGCTACTCTCCGACCCAGTCATTACAATATAAAGAACAACCTATAGAAGTAAGAATTTATTGAATTTGAGCTGCGTCTCAAATCCACCAAAAACCAGCTTTACCTGAGCGTTTAAATCTTGAAATTTTGAATACAATTTTAAGTAGAACCTACCATATTTGAGCCGCGGCTCAAATTCTTTAAATTTGGCATCTGTTAGATCAAGTTTGAAATTGCAACGGTTTACGCTACCGGAGATGGAATTTAAAGAATTTGAGCCGCGGTTTAAATCCGCCAAAATCCGCCAAAACCCGGTTTAAAGGAATTGAGCCTTTGTAACAAACTCTGTTTTTCTAATCCCTATATCTTTTCAACCCAGTACAGTAGACCTTTGATATTTCAAACTATGAAATTTGTTAGATTAAATAATCTAAGTTTGAAATATCAAAGGTTTACACCAACCGGTTGCAGAGATATTGGGTTTAGAACATTTGAATTTGTGGCAAAAACTCAGATCCTTTAGCGCCGACTTAAATCTTGAAACATTTGATACAATTTTAAGTTGAACCAACCATATTTAAACCGCGGCTTAAATTTAAACCGCCGCTCAAATTCTTTAAATTCTGCCACGGGTTGGAAAGTTTTAGGGAGAAGAAAATTTGAGTTACTGGCAAAGACTTAATTCCTTTAGTGATTTCGACAAGGCAATTTTTAAACTGTATTCTCGAAATAAATGATATCACACAAAACCAAAAACATAAATATTGGATTTATGGTGATTTAAACAGCATAATCTGTTGAATTAAAATGTATGGCGGGTTAAAATAATGAATACACTTTAGATCAATTTTATCGCAAGCTTTGAGATAAATAAATAGTCAGCGAAAATCCTATAAAATCAGATAAAAATATCAAAATTGTTTCTTAAGTTGGCAAAGGATTCGAGTGTTTGCCGCAAATTCAAAATTTCTTAGCAATCTTAGAAAATCAGGCTCAATTCTTTTATAATTAGAGTGATTTAGTTTTTATTCTTCAAATTACAGGAAACCCTGTTTTATATATATCTAATTTGAAACACTGGGTAAACATTATCGGTAAATTAGAGTAAATTGTACAAAAAAGATTCCTTATTGCATGATTGAGCTGTCTGGAAAGGTTTATAGATAAATCATTGAAAGATACTGTCATCATCAAACTTATAAACTAGAAATAAAAAAATAAAACTTTTTATTCTAGAGATTGATCAAGATCATATTTTGGAATTATTTAGAAAAAATAAAACCCTGTTTACTCCATAAACGACTGGTGTGTTGAGGGAAGGAATGCTGGAAACTGATAATGTCCAAGATTAGTGTGTTGAGAGAAGGAATACTAGAAACTGATAATGTCCGACATTAGTGTGTTGAGGGAAGGAATGCTAGAAACTGATAATGACCAAGATTAGTGTGTTGAGAGAAGGAATGCTAGAAACTGATAATGTCCAAGATTAGTGTGTTGAGAGAAGGAATGCTAGAAACTGATAATGTCCAAGATTGTTGGAAAAAGTTTACAAATCTTGCAAATTCTTGGCAGGCTCTACGTCTGTCAGGGAACCATCAAATACTGCTGTAACTTTGGGAAAACAATTTACAATTTAAAGGGACTGTAAACTAAATTTAAAGTACCCCTCTATAACATTTTTAAGTGGCATATTCGATTCACAACGGTATTCTGTAAACCTTTGTCTATACCCATCGCCGATGGAGAAATCCATAACTTTCTCGCTGAAAAGGATGGGGTACCGTTGTTGATCCGACATTCCATTCTACAAATAGAGGTCCACTTGAAATAACGTTTAAATTGTCCCAGTAAGAATTAAGATTATGAATTCTTCAAAATAATTCATCTGTTAATTGTGTGATGGTATCATTATACAACAAGTAAATGGTCTGTGTTCTAAATCTAACGTGTGTCTCTTAACACAAAAAAAACGTTATTAGATCCATAGATTCAATCAATAACCTATTTTCGTTTTTCTGGACAATGAAATGAACATTTTCCGACCTACTTCATATTTGTAACAAAGAAATTGTGTTTTTGCCATATACTCGAATTTTTTAATCCCTTTATTTTTGATTTTTCAAACTATGAATTCTGTTCCATCAAAAAGTCAATGTTTTAAATCTCAAAATATCAGGTTGCAAAGACGTAGGGATTAAAAAATTTGAGTTTTTGGCAAATAATCAATTCCCTTGAGTTACGTTTGAAGTTTTGATAATCTGCGACACAAACAATGTTATAAAAAATCTGGAAAAGATTGTTGTTCTCCTTCAATTACTTATAATAACACTTGGATGCATCAGCGATTTTCTAAACGTGCATAAGATTTTCTTACAACATTATTCAAGGTATATTTTTTGTCTCATTAGATCGTAAATTTGGTAAACATAATTGTAATATAAAAAAAACCCAAAATCCGTTCTGAGCTGGGAACTTTAGAATGGTGGATATCGAAATCAATGCTTGATCCACTATTTTCTTAATCTCAAGACTAACCTACTCTTGTACTTGTATCCTGAAAAGTTTATCGAATTTAACCAATCAGAGTCGCGTATCAGAAGCCTGGAAATTAAAAATTTTGCGCTCCATTTAAGATTAATATATAAAAACGAGAGGGACTCTCCAATTTTGAAAAACCGGTTTATGATTTTTCTGTACTATATCCAAAAAAGAGTGGATTAAGAAAGAAATTAAAAGTGTCCACATTGGATATTCGGATTAAGCAGTCGGGATTAAAGGTATCCCATTCTACAGTTTCCAGAGCTGAAAACTTTAGAATGGGATATTCTTAAAACCGATCGGTTAATTAATCTGGAGATTAATAACAAGTGGAGAACAGGCATTATTTAATCTGGAGATTAAGAAAAAAAAGGAGATCAAGCATTAATATAGATATCCACCATTCTAAAGTTTTCAGCTCAGCTCAGTAGTTATAGACAATGGCATCAACTAATATTTTTTAGAGACACCAAGTAAAATTTTAGAAATCATTCTAATAACTAGACAGTTATCTTCTTGCGATTAAAAACTGTTCACAACCCTTTCCGTGAAGAATAAAATAAAATACATTTTCATAAAAACTGCAGTAAATTCGACTCTTCCAGAAAATTTATAAAAGCTGAAATTTTACGTGGAATATCCACATATTAAATATTACGTGGAATATCCACATATTAAATATTACGTGGAATATCCACATATTAAATATTTGTTTCTCAAATTCACGGATTTTCAAGCTAAATTCAAAAATGTATGGAATGATGATAAAAATATCTGCAAAGTTGGACAAAGGTGAAAATATTTGATTAAATTTGATAAAAAGATGCCAAGATACCGTCATATTGAAAATACATCTTAAACATAATATTAATTATACTAACCATGGAGATACCGTCATATTGAAAATACATCTTAATCATCATATTAATTATACTAACCATGGAGATACTGTCAAATTGAAAATACATCTTAATCATAATATTAATTATACTAACCATGGAGATACTGTCATATTGAAAATACATCTTAATCATAATATTAATTATACNTTGTTAGTTAGAAAATTAGGATGCTCAGTTAGGAAAATATGACTGTTAGATAGGAAAGTAGGATTGTTAGTTAGAAAAGTAGGACTGATAGTTAGGAAAACATGAATGTTAGATAGGAAAATATGACTGTTAGTTAGGAAAATATGTTATACTAACCATGGAGATACTGTCATATTGAAAATACATCTTAATCATAATATTAATTACACTAACCATGGAGATACCGTCATATTAAAAATACATCTTAATCATAATATTAATTAAACTAACCATATGGAGTGCCCGGCGTTACCTAGGTTTACATTATTATTTTTAATCATAGAATATCCACCGTTTACCCGCGCTTGGTATTAAATCACGATTCTAGCCGAGTCTCCGGCCGTTGCCCTTGGAATTTCAAAAATGTCCAAAAACAATTTTAGCCTAAAAACTCAGTTAATTTGGCCCAGCTGTTTGGCAAGCTATAACGAACATAAATATAAATATATATGCATATATAATGAAAGAAGAGCTTTATTATAAAGATAAATTAACATAATATTAAATTTATCAAATAAGAATGGTAGGGGTTTCTTGGTTTGTTTTAAGCATTTTTTACTTTCAAGAGGGTTCTTAATATTAATATTAATACACTGTTATCGTTATTTGATGATCTACTTTGTAAATTTCTTCTCTCATATATGTACGTATATATATATATATGTTATTCATATGCTGTCCAAACGTCTGTATACCAATAGGCTGATATTTTTTTTACAAAACCCATGAGCCATGGGTACCAAGGGGTAACATAGGATAAAAACATTTGATTTTTTAAAAATTCCTCGTGCTATGCTTAGTACTTCAGCTATATAATAATATAAGTTAGTTCTGTTGGAGGTTGGAAGAATGCGTCCTTGAGATGGTGGCCTTGTTTAAATGCTTTATATTGCATTGTCATGTATATAAATATGTACTTCCAAGCCCAAAGTACAAATAATCATTTTATTAACATTAAGAATATGAATGTGTGTATGAAGTATGTACATTATGACATTATGAAGTAACGAAAAGAATAAAAATGCACTTTTATGCACAGTTAACACAGAAAGGAGAGGAGGTAGTTGTTGGTCATTTTTTATATAATATCCTTCTGGCTTTCATTTCTACATAAATAAATTTTAAACCTTAAATATGGAATTTTAATAAAGTGCGGAGGTTGCTATTTCCTGGAACCAGATCAAATATATACCAAGAAGTAGTTGAACCACTAATCTTCAACTTGAAACGGCGTGGAACAAAGAGAAGTGGTTTAACTACGATTATGCGGTTCAACTACTTCAAGTTATTGATTAAACCTGGTTCCAGGTCTATTCTATGATGCATGAATATGTTCTCTAGTTCACTATCCTGAGATGTGAGTGTAGAATCCAGGCCTAGTATAATAACACTGGTGTAGCAGAGAATAGATCCAATGATGATTAGATTATTCAGGTTCGGAGAACTCATCTTAATTTGCCTAAACATTATCTTGGGTAGAGATCAGTTTCCTTATCCTAGTCCTATAGTTCACTATCTTGTTCCTTGTCCTAGTTCACTATATCCTGGTCCTGATCCTAGTCCTAGTTTTCTATCCTGGTCCTAATCCTAGTTCTAGTTCAATATCCTTATCCTAGTCCTAGTTCATTCTCCTGGTCCTTATCTTAGTACTAGCTAATTATCCTGGTTCTTATCCTAAACATAGTTCCTTATCCTAGTCCTAGTTAACAATCCTAGTCCTAGTTCACAATCCTGGACTTTTTCCTAGTCCTAATTCCATGTTCTGATCTTATTATCTTACATAGCTCCCTATCGTAGTCCTTTTATAAGTCCTATGTTCACTATCCTGGTCCTTTAAATGCTTAGCCTTTATCCAGTCCATCTTTGTCCTGTTATTGTCCTTTCTTTCTAGTCTTATAATTCAGTTTCTGTTCTAAGCACGCATAACACACCCCTCCCCCATCCAACGTCTCAGTTGAAAATTCTTTGAAACTGTTCGGGAAACTGGTTGTGTGTGAAGTGTTGAACTGTCTTACTAAATATAAATATATAACTTTCTCCTCTAGTTCTATCATACTACAACTAGAGACTGGAGGAAGGAGAGGAGAAGGAGAGTCAAGACGTGGGTAAGAAGTAAGGATGGTTAAATGAGGAAAGAGTGGGGGAAAAGAGGGATCGGCGGAAAGGATGGGGGGGTAAGTTAGGAAATGGGAATGGAGAAGGATAGTTAGATTGTGAAGAAGGACTGTCAGAAAGGAAATTAGGACTTTTAGATAGGAAGGTAGGACTGTTAGATAGGAAAGTAGGACTGTTAGATAGGAAAATAGCACTGTTAGATGGGAAAGAAGGACTGTTAGATAGGAAAGCAGGATTGTTAGTTAGAAAAGTAGGACTGTTAGTTAGGAAAATATGACTGTTAAATAGGAAAGTAGGATTGTTAGTTAGAAAATTAGGATGCTCAGTTAGGAAAATATGACTGTTAGATAGGAAAGTAGGATTGTTAGTTAGAAAAGTAGGACTGATAGTTAGGAAAACATGAATGTTAGATAGGAAAATATGACTGTTAGTTAGGAAAATATGACTGTTAGTTAGGAAAGGGGGCTGGGGAATAATTATTGCAAAAGGTATCCATATGGGGTTAAAGATGGTTCGGAGTGGGGAGGAGGTAGGGGGCGGAAACGAAATTCCTATTCCCTGGGAGGAGGAGGTCGAGGGGGGAAGAATAATTAATTTTTAAGGGGGGGGGGGAGGGGTTTAGGGAGAAAGTCAAAGAGAGACTGGAGGCATGAATTAAATTGGATGCTAATAGTTTTGATGGAGAAAAGTAGAGCTTTAAATCATATTTTATTTCTAACAAGTAAATCAATTGAATCACCGAGTATTGCAAAGCTGTAACAAATCTAATATCAATATTTTCTAAGATTTGTTCAAATAAATACTTTCATAATTTCAGCTCTTTTTTTAACTCTTAAAGCTATAAACTCACAAATTAAATTAAAGCTATAAACTCACAAGTTAAATTAAATTAAATAAATTCACAAATTAAATTAAAACTATAAACTCACAAGTTAAATTGAATTAAATAAACTCCCAAATTAAATTAAATTAAATAAACTCCCAAATTAAATTAAATTAAATTAACTCACAAATTAAATTAAATTAAATAAACTCACAAATTTAATTAAATTAAATAAACTCACAAANATTCTAAGGGGGGGCATATTTTACGCTAAGCTTGATTCAGAAAAGTAAAAACACGTTGTAAAAATGCAAATATAGAAATGTCTCTGCCCATGACAAGTAATTACCCCCCACCCCAACCAATCGCAAGCTGTCAAAGAAGTCAACAAAACGAGTTTTTACAGTAATATAATCTACATTAAGGGAGTATATCCCAGTTTTTAACGAGACACAACACAATAGCTGAATATAGTATTTGCTTCAAAACCATTCATGCTAAAACTTAGAAAATAACCGTGTTTAAATAAAAGTACTTAGAGGACTATACATGTCAGTTAAGTGGACATTTCAAAAGCGACATGTTCGATCTTCTTCGGTACCCTTAAAAATTTAGTCTGAGCATAAAAAATGAAGATGTTTTTCTTTCTGAAATTGATTAGTTCTAATTTTGGTTTTAGTGTAAAAGTGACTTTTGGATATATACAAAAGAGCCAAAGAATTAATGTTTGAATTTAGCTCTGCAACTCTTTAAACACTTCAAAATGCGTTTAATAGTCCCTTTTAAAGCTTTTTTTGTGGAAATCCCGTTTTTAGGAAAGTCTCTACTATACTTACTTTTGATGCCTATACTTGATGTTGACAGCTAGGAAACCTAATCCTGTAACTATTCCAAGAGAAGCTACCACTACAAGGATCGAATAGATCGTCAGATTAACCCTTGTCAGTTCGATCCTCGTCACAGTTCGATCCTTGGGAACCTTGTTCCAGGATATCTGGTTGCATCGTTCCATGTGTAGGGTTCTTGTTACTCCGGAATATTCTCCGACACATTTCTCCTCGTCACCTGAACATGCAGAGGATATAAATCTAATAATAAAGATTGGAAAACCTTCCATCAACATCAATTACCAATAAGTTGTATAATTTTGGACTATTTTAGAAAAATCAACATTTTGTGATCAAATATGAACGTGCAATCACACTACCTAATGTCAAACCTTTAAAAAAACTTTGGCTAGTAATAATGCTGAATTTCTAAATATTCTTTTCATGCCCCAAATTTTACTTCATTCGTCGAAAAGTTTTGCAGATTCTTTTTGTTTCTTTTGTGGATTTTGAGGAAATGACCTTTGATCTGCCTTTGATCTTCCCTTGGATCAGGTTCATATTGATCTCAGTACACCAACAGACAATTGAAATAAATAGATAGGGAGGCGTTGATGTAGAGTGAAGGGGGGGGGGGGGGAAAACCAACTTGGCAAAGAAACCCTCTCAACAGTTAAGGAGAAATAATCTAAGGAACGTTTTGCACTTTCTAATAATAGTCTTTTAAGCTAAACCAGGTTTCAAATATTGTAATCCTATATTTCTATATTTATGCAGTTGTTGGTGATCCATGGAATTAATGCAATTCAAAATATAAATAGTCTAAAAATAATCATTTAATAGTCATTAACAAAATTTGTGTAAGTATATGATTTCATTAAAAGCTTCTTAAAAATCGAGAATATATTGTTTAATGTGTTATTGTTGATTCTACTTTTATTATTTCTTGACCCAAAAAAAACTCTTAATCCAAACCTTCCACTCCACGTCAACATGAAATACTAATCTAAGTATGTTTCCTGCAGGGGCAAACAATGTTAAAAGGGTGTCCTAATGAAAGAAAGCCTAGTTTTGTACTACCAAAAACTGTACTGTACTTTTCAGGAGTGAAATAAATAAATAGGGAAGCACTGAGTTTATTTACATTTCTTCTATAAACTGCGGTTCAATATTTTTTTATCACATTGACTAAATAATCCCAAACGTTATCGCTGTAAGCTGGAAACTTTTCAAAAGACGGATAAATTTATTCTCTTATAACAGACTCATTTGTTGAGGATCAGTCAAATTCAGTTAGTTTAATATGCTGCCAATAAAAACAAAATTAAAAATCATTCTATCCATTCCAAGTTTCAAACTCTAATTTTCATGAGTTAGAATAAATACAGAATCGATTCAAAAACTTTTAGAACAGTTTAATCTCAGGAAATACAACAAGAATTCTTAATTCACCGGATTGATAACAGAATGAAATAAATCATAACAATCTAGGAACGAAAAAACATAACGTTTTTATAAATTCTAAAAAATAAAACATGTTACTAATGCAAAATATCAAATATGAAGAAAGCAGAATATTTTTAATGAACGGAGATTCAGAATAAGAAATTCGATTCAGTTCCTTTGATTTATTAATACTTACATCTTTGCAAGCTGATGTCGTTAACTTTTGCTGTTTCAAATTATGAATTATGAAAGATCAATAAGTTTTAGTTTGAAATGCCATGAGGTTGCAAAGATTTAAGGATTAGTAACAAAATTGTCTTTGTTTTGTAATATGCAAGTATGTTCATCTTAAAGGGATTATGAGCGTAATTTCAAGTGACTCTTCATGTAAAGATGGTGATGTACGATTTACAACGGTACCCTTAAAATCATTTTCTGGTCAAGTATGCATTCGATATCACTGTGTTTAGTTATTTAAACTATTTATTTATATTTGCGGCTTCTCTGCACATGTGACGTGTGCATTTATTGCTTATAAGAACCAATGGAAAAATTATCAGAATTCTAAACAGTTTTCTAGTCAGGAAAATGACAATGTTTTCTACATTTTTTATCATAAGCTACTACTAATGTCACCCATATAATTTAATTTTGGAAAAGAAAGAAAGAAGTTTGTAACATATTTCTTGTAGAAACACTAAATATGTCCACACGGTCGAGTCGTTGGTTTCTCATCATTTGAGGATGACACTATGACCCTATGACCCTATGTCTCCCTGATCGAAAAATTCATTGGGTTTTGTTTTACCTATGATTTGGTTGATAAGTATAGTTCCTCTCCGACTATTTTCCTTGAACTGTACTCGACCCTGCACAAGATAAATTCTATTTAAAATATAATGGATTTCATTCCTATCTAATTTTAATTTAAAGCTCTCCGGACACAGGATTTTCAAGAAGAAAAATGGGAAAAGTTCGCCATTTCATTTATCTTTTTAAAGTTTTTAGTTCCATTTCCTACTTTGTTGAAAGCTTAGCAAAACGTAAAAAGAAGAAGGGTTTGGATCGGGGTGGGGGGAGGGGAGGCAGGTTAAAAGGTAGAAATTTTACAAATTTTAGAGATAAAAAATGAACCTACCGTTACACCTTGAAAAGAAGTGAGACTGAGAGCTTTAATAAACCTCTGTTCCCATTCTACATCCCTGAACAACAAACCTTTAATCTAGGTGTACACTGTACACGTACAACAGAATAAACCATGTTAAACCCCCTGGTTTAATCTAGGTGTACACGTAAAACAGAATAAACCATGTTAAACCCCTGGCTTAATCTAGGTGTACACGTACAACAGAATAAACCATGTTAAACCCCTGGATTAATCTAGGTGTACACGTACAAAAGAATAAACCATGTTAAACCCCCTGGTTTAATCTAGGTGTACACGTACAACAGAATAAACCATGTTAAACCCCTGGATTAATCTAGGTGTACACGTACAACAGAATAAACAATATTAAGCCCCTGGTTTAATCTAGGTGTACACTGTACATATACAACAGAATAAACAATGTTAAACCCCCTGGATTAATCTAGGTGTACACGTACAACAGAATAAACCATATTAAACCCCTGGTTTAATCTAGGTGTACACTGTACACGTACAACAGAATAAACAATATTAAACCACCCTGGATTAATCTAGGTGTACTCGTACACCAGGATAAACCATATTAAACCACCCTGGTTTAATCTAGGTATACTCGTACACCAGGAAAAATCATGTTAAACCCCCTGGATTAATAAAAAACAATATTGGGTTTAATGTGCAGAGAAAACAATAATGAAATATTTGCTTAAAGTTGAAAATACATGAAATTTCAGCATACGTAGTGCAGAGAATATATGGTTCGTTTTGAGTTAAATTTAAGTTGTTGCACGACAGTTAAAAAGATTCAAGTACAGTTGAAGCTCCAGGCAAGAAAAACAACTGTAGCTCCAGGTGGAGAGAAAAGTACAATTGAAAAGCTTTAGGTAAATAGGGATAAGTAGTGTTGTAGCTCCGGGTAGGGATAAAAGTACTGTTGTAGCTAAAGGTAGGGATAAAATTACTGTTGTAGCTCCAGGTAGGGAAAAAAGTACAATTGGAAGGCTTTGGAAAGGGATAAAAGTACAATTGGAAAGCTTTAGGAAGGTATAAAAGTGCTGTTGAAGAGAGAAAAGTAATGTTGTAGCTCCAGGAAGAGAGAAAAGTAATGTTGTAGCTCCAGGAAGAGAGAAAAGTAATGTTGTAGGTCCAGAAAGAGAGAAAATTAATGTTGTAGCTCCAGGAAGAGAGAAAAGTATTGTTGTAGCTCCAGGAAGAGAGAAAAGTACTGTTGTAGGTCCAAGAAGAAAGAAAAGTACTGTTGTAGGTCCAGGAAGAGAGAAAAGTACTGCTGTAGGTCCAGGAAGAGAGAAAAGTAATGTTGTAGCTCCAGGAAGAGAGAAAAGTAATGTTGTAGCTCCAGGAAGAGAGTAAAATAATGTTGTAGCTCCAGGAAGAGAGTAAAATAATGTTGTAGGTCCAGGAAGAGAGTAAAATAATGTTGTAGGTCCAGGTAGAGAGAAAAGTACTGTTGTAGGTCCAGGAAGAGAGAAAAGTAATGTTGTAGCTCCAGGAAAAGAGAAAAGTAATGTTGTAGGACCAGGAAGAGAGAAAAGTAATGCTCTAGCTACAGGAAGAGAGTAAAATAATGGTGTAGCTCCAGGAAGAGAGTAAAATAATGGTGTAGCTCCAGGAAGAGAGTAAAAAAATGTTGTAGCTCCAGAAAGAGAGTAAAATAATGTTGTAGCTCCAGGAAGAGAGTAAAATAATGCTGTAGGTCCAGGTAGAGAGAAAAGTACTGTTGTAGGTCCAGGAAGAGAGAAAAGTAATGTTGTAGCTATAGGAAAAGAGAAAAGTAATGTTGTAGCTCCAGGAAGAGAGTAAAATAATGTTGTAGATCCAGGAAGAGAGTAAAATAATGCTTTAGGTCCAGGTAGAGAGAAAAGTACTGTTGTAGATCCAGGTAGAGAGAAAAGTACTGTTATAGGTCCAGGAAGAGAGAAAAATACTGTTTTAGCACCAGGTAGAGAGAAAAGTACGGTTGGAAAGCTTTAGGTAAATAGGGATACAAGTACTCTTGTTGCTCCAGGTACGTAGAGAATTAAGTGCTTTGCGGGCATTGCAATCTTTGCATGGAGGGCAACTTGAAATTATGCTTCCAGTCTCTTTAGTCAGTCTATACCTTACTTTTTCCTGTTTTTCAAGATTATGAGATTATTGAATCGATCCCGGAACTATATACTGTGCATTGTTAACGCACAATTTAGCTTATTATTGCAAAAATAAGAAATATATCAACTTCAACAAAATCTACCGAATGACCCAAAAAGTGTAATCAGTGTTGTTTAAGCTGTTACTTGTAATAATAATGATAATAATAATGGTAGTCACACTGTAAATATAATGAGAGTTTAGTTAATACTCATCGATTTTTTTTCCATCGATAATATTAATAAGACATGTTGATATTTGTTGAATAAAAAAGAAACTTTCTGAATATTGAATAAAAATATTCTGTTGACAAAACCATTCTTTCCAACCGTTTCTCTTCTCATATTAGGCAGAAGCACCAACTGCACAGATTTAACAAACTGTACAGGGAGAACCAGAACAATGTGGAATAGGAAGACGGTAATATAACAATTTTGTATTTGTTAGTTTAATCATTAAATCATTAATATTAATCAAATGGGTCTGTTTACACTGCACAATTTCCGCGTTTTATGTTCATAACTAGAGTCTAAAATTCGTCTTCCTATTTCACAGTTTTCTGGTTCTTACTGTGTTTATATATTTTCTAGTTCTAAAAAGTACATAGAGGTTTTAGAGAGAATCCAAATACATTTTTGATACTATCAGCGATGTGAAATAAGTTGGCTTGTTTATAGCGGACGTTTGACGTGTCAACAAAATTGGGAAAAAATGTGACAAGGTGTTTCTAAAATCTTCTTTCCAAAGGTTGACCCCGAGAGAAAATATAATGAGTTAGGTTTTTGAACTGTTCCCAAAGAGAATGGAATATATATTAGAGTGGAATTTAGACAATACCTCGGTATGAATTTTGTCAGTCCCTTTCAGCCTGAAAGGGAGTTCAAAGTGTACACATCATGTAAATGTTCACAAATTATATGCAGTACATTAATACAGTATGTTCTCTAGACTATCCATTTCAATTTCTAATTTTTTAAAGCTTTTCAATAAACTTTATGAAATGAATAAGGTGAATAAAAAACATCATTTGATTTATAGTTAAAACGGAAAATCATCGTTTGTAAAGTGAAAGGCATAGAGACTATGTGAAATGATCATTGGTCAATTATGAAACCAGCCTATTTCATAATTTGGTTTTCTTTTAATTTTAATTTTGGATTTTCTATAAAATGATATTCCAGGGCCCAAAAGGTTATATAGCACAAATATGTGAAGTACATCTGCAGTATGGAAACAGTACAACAAAATAGCCGTTTTACACTTGTTTCTAGTAAATTCCACTCTAATATATATTCCATTCTCTTTGACTGTTACACATAGGAAATGGATTTTTCAGGCTCCTTTTCATACCTAGACTTATCATTTAAAAATCAAAAGGAGTTAAACTGCCTCCTTTTCCAAGTTGTGCTCCAAGATTCCTGGGAAAACGTTCCTTCCCCCCCCCCCCAAAAAAAAAACAGTCCACCATTGTATTTGATGAAGGACAGTGTATGTATATTATTTACTATAAATCATCTAATATGATTGATGAGAAATATTTAAGTATTCTGCTGCAGGCTTTCTTAGACCAGAATCCAGATCAGAAAAATGTTTGTGTATTACTCAGGGAGTAAGGAATAGAAGGGAGATATAACTGACGCGGTTCGCCACACCATATGATTATACATGCTTTGCAGACGAGTACTCCATTTGTATATGAAATGCTCAGAATAGGTTATTGTATACGCAGTAAATGTACATCAGACAAATACTTCTTATACAAATGGAGTACTCGTCTGCAAAGCATGTATAATCATATGGTAGGGCGAACCGCGTCAGTTATATCTCCCTTCTATTCCTTACTCCCTGATATTACTGTATAAGTAAACAAACAAATCAATGTTTGTGAACTACTGTATAAGTAAACAAAAATCACAATGTTTGTGAGCTACTGTATTAGTAAACAAACATCACAATGTTTGTGAACTACTGTAACAACATGATGTTTGTATACAACTGTATAAGTAAACAAACCGAACAATGTTTGTGAACTACTGTATAAGTAAACAAACAGCACAATGTTTGTGAACTACTGTATAAGTAAACAAGCAATCAATGTTTGTGAACTACTGTATAAGTAAACAAAAAGCACAATGTTTGTGAGCTACTGTATTAGTAAACAAACATCACAATGTTTGTGAACTACTGTAACAACACAATGTTTGTATACAACTGTATAAGTAAACAAACAGAACAATGTTTGTGAACTACTGTATAAGTAAACAAACAGCACAATGTTTGTGAACTACTGTATAAGTAAACAAGCAATCAATGTTTGTGTTTAACAGTATAACTAAACAAACAACACAATGTTTGTGTATTTCTGTATAAGTAAACAAACAACACAATGTTTGTGAACTACTGCATAAGTAAACAACACAACACAACTGTATAAGTAAACTAACAACACTATGTTTGTGAACTACTGTATAAGTAAACAAACAACACAATGTTTGTGAACTACTACATAAGTAAACAAACAACACAACTGTATAAGTAAACTAACAACACAATGTTTGTGAACTACTGTATAAGCAAACAAACAAATCAATGTTAGTGTATTGCTGTATAAGTAAACAAACAACTTGATGTTTGTATACTGCAGTATAAGGAAAGAAGATCTGAATCTACTGGGAGAACCAGAACACGCTTGAACAGGAAGATGAAACTTTTATACTCGACTCAAGTTATGACTACCCCACCCCCCATCCTTACTGACTAGGTACTCAGTTTTTAACTTTTCAAAATCATCATTTTCATTAACTGTTTAATGTTGTGTCATCCATATTAATGTTTGTTCTTGACTTCTAATGTGTAAAGTTAATGTTTAAATCGGCTGGAAAAACTATTTTTTACAATGTATAATGTACATTGTACATTGTACAAACCATAATTGGTAAAATACATATTACACTAAATAAACTTTGAGCTTTCTTAGCTTACTAAATACAGGGACGATTAATTATTTTGGTATTATTGTTATTATGATGAAAATATAAAAAATAATAATTTTCATAATTTTAATAGTTTATTATAAAACTTTGAAATCTTTGTAAAGTTGTGATTTGTCAAGCCCAGAGTATTTGACCAAACAGAAACTTAATTCCTTTCTAACTTTAAAAAAAAATAGAATTTAAGCGGACTCATGAGCACTGTTAAAAGAAACAGCACATGAACTAAAGTAAAATTTAATCTTATATGTTTTTTATCACAACTCTTGTTAAGAAGAAGAAAACGGAGTTGAATCTATAGTATGTAACCTAATAAATTTGTATTTCTCATACTTGATGTGTAAAATCATAATTAGAAGTACCTTCTCCTCCTGGTTAGTTTGCTGTAACTGACTGAAGACAAACAACCCTATCGAACACTTTATAAGCATAATTAGAAGTACAGTAATGTAATTGACCTTCTCCTCCTGGTTAGTTTCCTGTAACTGACTGAAGACAAACAACCCTATCGAACACTTTATAAGCATATAGACTGATTTTTAATCAATTGTTGTGTCTATATATAAAAAGTAGAAATCTCTGTTTGTATTTCCGATCATAACCGCAGAACCCCCTGACCGAGTTTCCTCAAAATTTGGATTGGGTAACTCGGCAAGACCACGGGAATTTCCTTAGCTTGGTTTAAAAGTTTGAAGTTGAGTAAGTTAATTGTAATTAAAATATTAGAATCCAGGCAAAGCTGGGTTCCCGAGCTAGTGAATATATATTGCTTATCGCTTTTTATTGTTTAAAGAAACCAATTGTTTATAAATATACAAATTGAGAAGTCAAATTACACTAGTATACAATATACAGAATACCATATGTTACATTGTATACAGTATCTATAAATATACAATTTGAGAACTCAAATTACACTTGTATACAATATACAGAATACAATGTTACATTTTACATTATCTATAAATATACAATTTGAGAACTCAAATTACGCTTGTATACAATATACAGAATGCAATATGTTACATTGTATACAGTATCTATAAATATACAATTTGAGAACTCAAATTACACTTGTATACAATATACAGAATACAGTATGTTACATTGTATACAGTATCTATAAATATACAATTTGAAAACTCAAATTACACTTGTATACAATATACAGAATACAATATGTTACATTGTATAGTATCTATATATATATACAATTTGAGAACTCTAATTACACTTGTATACAATATACAGAATACAATATGTTACATTATATACAGTATCTATAAATATACAGTAGTAATCACTATTTGTTTGTGTGTTCGATCACAACTCGAGAACCCCATTACTGATTTGCCTCAAATATTGACTGAGGAACTCGGAAGAACTACGAGAATGTTCTTAGCTTTGTTTAAACGTTTTTAGTTGAATAGTTGACTCTGAAAAAGAAAACTTTGTATCCCGGCAAAGCTGGGTTCCCAAGCTAGTGAGGGTTTATTATCTTTGAACAGTAAATGCCCGCTAATTTACTAAGCAGTCAGGCCTTTTATAAATGGATTTATAAATAAACTGTATAAACAATGTTCTTCACGTCAAATCAGGGGTCTTGCTTAAACATCAGTAAGCCGTAACTTTGGAACCCATTTTCACTTAAGAACCCATTTTCACTTTGGAACCCATTTTCACTTTGGAACCCATTTTCACTTTGGACCCCATTTTTACATTGGACCCCATTTTTACTTAGGAACCCAGTTTCACTTTGAAACCCATTTTCACTTTGGAACCCATTCTCACTTTGGAACCCATTTTCACTTTGAAACCCATTTTCACTTTGGAACCTATTTTCATTTTGGAACCCATTTTCACTTTGAAACCCAATTTCACTTTGGAACCCATTTTCACTTTGGAATCCATTTTCACTTTGAACCCCAATTTCACTTTGGAACCCATTCTCACTTTGGAACCCATTTTCACTTTGGAACCCATTTTCAATTTGGAACCCATTTTCACTTTAGACCCCATTTTCACTTTGGAACCCATTTTCACTTTGGAACCCATTTTTAATTTGGAACCCATTTTCAGTTTGGAACCCATTTTCACTTTGGACCCCATTTTCACTTTGGAACCCATTTTCACTTTGGAACCCATTTTTACTTTGGAACCCATTTTTACTCGTAGCTTGAACAAAATCAAAACGGGTAAACTTGTAATTCGAATAAAGCTTTTTAACAATCAAAACTTTAAAAAAATTGTCTTCCTTATATTGATATAATCGCCTACCACCGTTTATAAACGAACCGTAGTCAAGGTAGAAACAGATAGTTAAACTATATTTCTTCAGCGTGTCGGAAAGCATACTAAAGAAGAAATGAAACCAGCCATATACTTAGATCAATATTATCTCGCAAGTTTTACAATGTCGGTCTCTGCAATAATTAACGTAAACCTGTATTGATTGTTCAACAGGTTGTGTGATAAACACTGTTAAAAACAATGGTAAAAACTGGTTCAGTTTTGTTTACTCACTGTCTACAGTTTGCATGCAACTCATGCTTTTCATGCAATTTTTAAATTATGAAACAATTTCCTTCTCGTAAAATAAATAAACATAACGTTATTAAACATTAACGTTTTCATTAATTGCATTATTACGATTGTTATACCTTTTACAAAATAGAATACACAATTTTTTATTTTACCTGTATTTGAAGTCCAGCATTGTCTGGTTGTTTAATTTAGCTTCCTCGTTAACTGCATGTATTGCTAGGGCTATTGCCCAGATACCGTCGTAGGCGTATCCATGAAACCTAAATCATAAAATTATAGATATATATTATATATATATAGTATTTTCAACTTTTCTAAGTTTAAATATACATTTTAAATGATCAAATGTATATATATCTTCTTAAAATGCATATATATATATATATAAATAATACGGTGTTTCATACATAAATCTTGAAGTCAAAATTGTTTATGGTAATCGGACCCTGCAGGGAGGGAAAATTAAATTGTTTGAATCAAATCAAGCATCTAATATAAACAAGTATTAACTTCTGTTTGTGTGTGTGTCCGATTATGACTCAGTAACACCTCAACCAATTTGCCTCAAATATCGGGAACTCAAAAGAACTTTAAGGTTTTAAAGAGGAAACTCCAGGCAAAACTGGGTTCCCACACTAGTCTAATATAAATCGAGATCAAGTGTTGTGAATTAGCGCTATTTCTGTCCATGTCTGAAAACTGGGTTCCCACGCTAGTCTAATATAAATCGAGATCAAGTGTTGTGCATTAGCGCTATTTCTGTCCATGTCTGAAAAAATTAAAATTCATAAGTTTTGTTTGAAAATATAAATATACACAAAACAATTGTTAATGTGGGAAAATAAACAACGGGTTTAATCCCCCTCCCTTTCCAACCCCCCCCCCTTCTCTCCCCATGTACCAAAATGGATCTTTTCTATAATTTACTACTGTCTAGTCTGACCAATACAAGCGATGACATCAGTTTTTATATTTAACTTATTGACGTTTACAGTTTCTTAGGAAATCAGTTTAACTGTAATGGAATTTTATAAATGTTTAAATCAAATATTGCAAAAAACGTTTTCATCCTTTTGTTCTTAAGATATTGTTTAGGTTTAAATATCAAAGATTTAATATGAAAAGTATAGTTAAAACCTCTTTTAAGCGTTAAAATTTGTTCTTAAAAGATAATAAAATTATAAACATAAATATTTTACCATATATTCTTATAATTTTTAAATTTGAAAATAATGATTTTTGATTGTTAAAATTTGATAATTAATTGCACAAAAAAAAACAATAAATATGAACTTCAAAACATCTATTAAATTGTCAATCAAATTTCCAGGTCAAGGTTGGAAACGAAAAAATGGTAACATTAAGAAAAAACAAGAAAAAACATGAAATATGAAAAGGGAAAAGATTTTAATAAAACTGATGCAGTTCTAGCATCTCTTCTGTTTATTCAAATATCTTAACTGTTATTTAATAAATCTAAAATATTTTAATAAAATTTGATATTTTGGCAAAATAAAGTCTGATCCCTTGGTAATTCTAGTAATTTTTGTAATTATAAACCGTGAGTCACAGAACAAAGAAATTTAGACATTCCGAATACAAACACTAAACAAACGAAATATCCGAGTATCACAAAGATTGAAATATCAAAGGTTTACGCAGTCAGGTTATAAAGATACAGGGATTAGAAAATCTGAGTTTGTGGCAAAAACTCTGTTCCTTTGTCTGTATGATATTTAATCAAATTGTGCCCTCGCATCATCAACAAGGGTGCGATCCGATACGTTTGGTTTCGGAAATTTTAATTAAATTGGGTTTTGGGGTAAAATTCAACAATCTTTAAACTTAAAAGTTTATTTAAATACTATTTCATTTAAAAAGCAATTTCGAACTCTGTAAAGTATAAAAAATTTAAATATATAATTTTGATCAAATTGGGATCGAAAGTCACAGCTTTCTGGAAAATGGACTGAACGGTTAAGTCTGTGTAGCATTGTGTCCTTTTAGAAGAAAATCATTACAGAAAAGTCTTTTTCCTATGAAATGCAGGATAGTTATATTTTGACCGAATTTAATGAATTTGAACTGAATCGGTGGTTCAAATTTGAACCGGTAGTGCCCAGTGGGTAGTTCAGCAAAGTAGCTCATATTCATTAAATTCGGTCCCTTTATGCATGAAAAGCACACATTTCTAGAAAGTATAATATTCTGCGGCTATTTTTGAAAAACCGATATATATTGGACAGTTCCATAATTCTCTAAATCTATTTTGTAAAATGTCAATAAACATTCCATTTGGATTCATTTTCCTGTGATGGTATGTATTTTATAATAGTATACAGACTCAGTTATTCATTTCAGTGGATGTAAAGGGAGTGACCCTACAAACTCTGATTTTCTAATCCCTATATCTTTGCAATCCATGTGTCGCAAACCTTAGATATTTAAAACTTTGAATTCTGTTAGATTAAACAAATTATATTTTAAAATATTTTAAACTTTTTTTGAGTCTAAAAGTCATCTTCAAATTCCAGTTTTTTCTGGTTATCTTAGTAGGTTGCAAAAATATAGGCATTAGATAATTCGAGATTGTGGCAAAAACTCGATTTTTTGTCATTATTACCTGGAGTAAATATTGGGTGGAGAGTCGGATCTTTTATTTCTCCGGGTATACTCCCGAGCTGCCTTCAGAGATTCAGATTCATACTCTCTCTCATACTCAATAGGCGTCTAGGATAGAAATATATATTAGTTAATAGGATACAATTGTATATATGGAGCACGATCATTTGCTATAAACTCACTTGCTATCCACTCACTTGCAATCAAAATCAGTTGCTAATTCAAACATTTGCTATCAAACTCATTTACTATCAACTCAGTTGCGATCACATCCATTTGCTATAAAAAGTCTCATTTGCTATCAAGCCTCGACTGCTATCGGCACATTTGCTTTCAAGCCTCACTTGCTATCAGGCCAATTTGCTATTAATCCTCAGTTGCAGTCAATCATTTTGCTATCGATCATCATTTGCCATCAAATTATCCTTATTTTGTCCAATTTTTTCATAAAAATCCGCAAAAAAATGGAAAAATTTCTCAGAATTTGGAACTCTTAATTCTGTGGCAAACTTTGCGTGGGCATGGAGTAAGGAGCCTATATAACATGCCATCGGGTTTATATATGAACAACATTGCTCGTTTTTTTCAAAAATGACAAAAAGAAGGTTTTAGGATATTTCATAGAGAGCTCATTTTTAAATAGATACAAGCGAAATTATTTGAGGTCTAGGTTTAGAACTTTTAAATTATATTTTATTATTCTAATCATATTTATAAAACTAGGCTTTTAGGGCACTTTGCGCCTATCTTCTATTTCAATTTTCTCTTTGTTTACAGTGTAAAACAAGAAAAAAATAATTCTAAACTATTTTTTTTTAATTTGGTGATTTTCAAAACTTAATGAAAATCGAATTTTGCTTTTGAAATTTTTTATCATCTCTTGGGTTAAGGAAGGTCCCTCACAAAAGTTGGGCCCGATCGGTTTGGCTGTTTTGACGTTTATTGGATACAAACCAAGAGACAGACAGACAAGCAAAGTATATAAAGATATAGATATAAATCTGCCTGGTGCACCTATGAACTGTCAATCCGAAAATCCCCGAACTGACGAACAAATCTTTGTAATTCTTTTAAGGTAATAAGAAAATTATACTTTATCCCTACTCCCTACTCCCTACTCCCTACTCCCTACTCCCTAATCCCTACTCCCTACTCCCTACTCCCTACTACCTATTCCCTACTCCCTACTCCCTACTCCCTAATCCCTACTGAAATGTATCTAAGCCAGGTTTCCTGGAGCCAAGTCCATTTTAAGATTTGTGAATGCTTCTAAATGTCCCATAGATTAAACAATTAAGTATAAAGAATAAAGGAAGTGTAACGGTTGCTTCTAATCTGTAAAGATATAATAATAAAGAAAAAGCATTATATATCTAAATATAAGAATATGAAGACCAGAACTGGGTCTGGATAATTGTAGGAAAATATGGTTTGTTTTGATCTTATGCAATGTCTGCTAGACCATTATATGTAAATATTTACATATATGTATTATTCAAATACGATTCTATGTGATGCTTCTGACAGTCATAAAAAAGAGCAGTTATTATTATACTGCAACTGTACTGTACTGTATTGAATTGAACTTTACTGAACTGCACTGTGTTTTATTTTACAGAACTGTAGTATACTGTTTTGAATTGAACTTTACTGTACTGCACTGTGTTTCATTTTACAGAACTGTACTGTTCTGTACTATACTGTACTGTTCTGTACTGTACTGTACTGTGCTGTGCTGTACTGTACTGTACTGTACTGTACTGTACTGTACTGTACTGTACTGTACTGTACTGTACTGTACTGTACTGTACTGTACTGTACTGTACGGTACTGTACTGTACTGTACGGTACTGTACTGTACTGTACTGTACTGAACTGTACTGTTTAGTACAGTACTGTGCTGTACTGTACTGTACTGTACTGTTTAGTACTGTAATTTCTCTGACAATTCTCAATTCTAGCTAAAAGTTAAAAACAAATGTAGAAAATCAATATCATCAACTAAAGATGATAAAATTATAAACTTTGCAATAAAAATTATAATATTGATATCTATATAATAATCATCTCTTTGCTATATATATATTTGTATATATATTTGTATATTTGTATATACATTAACTATAGTTGGTCAAACGGTTAGACCAAAATGGCTGAAATTTTATGACAAAGGTTAAAAAAATTTTTATTTTTTTTCAAAATTTGAAATTTTTTTTCAAGGGTTTCTAAAATTCTACGGGCAACGCCGGGCATTTAGCTAGTTAATAATTATAAATTAACTTACTAGCTGCTTAAAAGTATAAATGTGTGTTTTGCTGGGTTTAGTTGTGCATACATACTGCTTCGGTGATATAAAGAATATTTCAATAATTAATTTAATGAGGATGGGGGGGGGGGGCAAGGTTATTTATTTTATTATCTTTAGAAATAAATAAATGAGACATAATTACTTTTTCAATGGACTCTTTCATGAGCCAGCAGCTGGCCATTAAATGTGAGTTGGAAATTCTGTTTTTTTAAACCAAATTTTTTAATTCCCCCCCCTCCCCTTATAAAGGTGCTCCTCCTTTACGGAAGTAATTGGCAAAAGCATGATAGATGATAATTAACGAATCAATATTGATATATTCATGATAATTAATTTATGCGTAGAAATATAATGACAAACTTTCTCGTAGGGTGGATCAAACTTTGTAGTAGGGTGGATCAAACTTTGTAGTAGGGTGGATCAAACTTTGTGGTAGGGTGGATCAAACTTTGTAGAAGGGTGGATCAAACTTTCTCGTAGGGTGGATCAAACTTTGTAGTAGGGTGGATCAAACTTTGTAGTAGGGTGGATCAAACTTTGTAGTAGGGTGGATCAAACTTTGTAGTAGGGTGGATCAAATGATTTTCTGGTAAAAATATACAAGAAGGCACAAAATAAAGTGGATACATTTATAAAACGAACGCTATATGTCATTTGCCCTACACTCATTTGTCCTACACTCATTTGTCCTACACTCATTTGTCCTACACTCATTTGTCTTACACTCATTTGTCCCACAATAATTTGCCTCACAATCATTTGTCCTACAATCGCTTGTCCTGCAATCATTTGTCTTACACTCATTTGTCTTACACTCATGTGTCTTACACTCATTTGTCTTACACTCATTTGTCTTACACTCATTTGTCTTACACTCATTTGTCCTACACTCATTTGTCCTACACTCATTTGTCCCACTATTGTTTGTTCTACAATAATATCTTTTTGACTTACAATCACTTGTCAAACAATCGCTTATCCTACGAGCATTTGTCAAACAATCATTTTGCCTCCAATCCTTTGTCCCAAAATCGCTTGTCCTTAAATCAGTTGTCCCACAATCGTGTGTCCCACAATCATTTGTTCTCAAATCATTTGTTCTTCAAGTTTGTCCCACAATCATTTCAACCCTATACCTACAATCGTTTGTACTACAATCGCTTGTCCTACGAGCATTTATTCTACAATAATTTGTCCACAATAGTTCTCCACACAATCATTTGTCCTTTAATCGTTTGTCACGCAATCATTTGTCCAACAATAGTTTGTCCCGGCCGCAATCATTTGTCCTACAATAGTTTGTTCTACAGTCGTTTGTCCTACAATCGTCTGTTTTTCAGCCGGTTGTCCTACTATCGATAGTTATACAATCGTTTGTCATTCAATCGTTTGTCCCACAATCATTAGTCCTACACTCGTTTGTTTTACACTTGCAAGGCCATTTCTTTGAAAAAAAATTTGACCGATAACTTTAATAGTAGGATGCTATGGAGGGTTGATAAAAATGCCAAAAAAAAAAATCGACGAAAAATGTAAAGAATTAATTTTTTGTTTTAAACAAATATCAAGATGTGACACGTGTTTCTCATTCATTATTCAAAAACCTGGAATTTTTACCGCCCTGTACCCTACCCTAAGCATTTTTACAAAAACATTCTTTATATCTATATTCATTAAAAGTAAAAAAAAAATCTATTGGGGGCGCAGAGGGGGGAGGGTCAAATGCCCCCCCCCCCCATCTAGCCTGTTTATGGTTAAACGAATATAAGAATCATTGGGTTTAAAATCTTACTTTCTGACTTATCGTGCGTCATACCTAAAAATATTAAACCCATACATGTGTATTAGAATGCTGTTTTTTAAAACTATTTTCCTTCTTAAATCTGTACCTTTGGAATTTTAAATATTTCAAACTTTGAATGTTTGACTTTACTTCGTTCTTAGTATTAGGCCCTTTTAACCATTTCCTACCTATCTCTATAGATAAAATTAAAGGAATTGAGTCTTTGCCACAAACTCAATTTTCTAATCCCAATATTTTTGCAACTTGATAGTGTAAACCTTTCATATGAATATCAATATTTCAAACTTAGATTATTGAGCAAACAGAATTCATAGTTTGAAATATAGAAGGTCCACGAAATTGGTCTGTAAAGATATAGGGATTAGAACATAAGAATTTGTGTTAACTTAGTCACTTTCCGCTAACCCCCACCGCTTATTTGGTCAATGTACTGCAGATTGCTTCAGTCTGCAGTACATACCAAAAGCATATGTTTAGGGTGAGGTAGCAATCGAATCAAAAGGAATTAAGTTTTTGCCACAAACTTCGATTTTCTAATCCCGATATATTTGCTAACCAATTAGTCGAAGACCTTAGATAATCTTAGCTGGAAATATCAAAGATTTACACCAATAAGTGTAGACTGTAGAGATAGGGATTAGAAATTTTAAGTTTGTTGGAAAGGCTCAGTTCCTTTGATTCGTATTAATTCATTGTTTGCGAAACCTACTTTTAATGTTGCATCTTCCCCCAGATTTTAGAACATAAATGAAAAACTATATATTTTATTTAATATAGATTTATGGAGTAACCTAGCCTAGACAGTGATAAATAATGTTTAAACCATACATCAACATATAGGGTTAAACATTACATTTGAGATTTTAAGAGATAAGAAAATGGATCGACTCTTCGGGTTTTATTTAGTTTCCCTCTGCCAGATATTTCATTCCAATTAATTCAGAAAACGTTTAAAACATAAAAAATAAATCTTTCTATAATATATTGAAGATTAAATGCATTCAAGACTAAACATTTACCTTTCCAGAAATTGTTGTTGCATTTCCGTTGGAAGATATAGTTTGAATTTCCACCACCAGGGTTCCGTTCAGAGCTTCTAATATCTAAAAATGAAAAATATTAAATGGATGTCCACCACCAGGGTTCCGTTTAAAACTTCTAATAATATGAAAAATATTAAATGGATTTCCACCACCAAGGTTCCATTAAGAGCTTCAACTGTCTAAAGATGAAAAATATAGTTTGGATTTCTACCACTAGGGTTTCTTTCGGAACTTCTAGTAACTAATTTTTAAAAACATAGTTTGGATTTCCACCACCAGGGTTCCGTTCAGAGCTTCTAAATTTAATAACTTAATATCAAAATATAGTTCGGATTTCCCACACCAAGGTTCTGTTTAGAGCTTCTAATATCTAAATATGAAAAAAATGTTTGTATTTCCACCACCAGGGTTCTGTTTAGAGCTTCTAGTACCTAAATATGAAAAAAATGTTTGGATTTCCACCACCAGGGTTCCGTTTAAAGCTTCTAGTACCTAAATATGCAAGATAAAGTTTGGATTTCCACCACCAGGGTTCTGTTTAGAGCTTCTAATATCTAAATATGAAAATAAAGTTTGGATTTCCATCACCAGGGTTCCATTTAGAGCAGGCGCGTAGTGGAGGTTTAGCCTAGGGGGTGCAATTTTTTTTGTGCAACCCCCTAAAAAATAAAGTTTAAAATCTATATTAATCTACCGGAAGGCTGACTATAAGTCATCTGACCATAATTACCAATCATTTTAAAAGAAACCCTCCCGAAAAAAATATTGTAAATAAGATTAAGGTACAAAAAAGAATTTGAGAAATAATCATAAAATGGACAAATTGTGACATTGTCGATTGATAAGAAAAGTAAAAAATCTGAACTTTGGATTTCCACCACCAGAGTTCCGTTTAGAGTGTCTTATCTAAATATAAAAACATGGTTTGGATTTCCACCACCAGGGTTCCGCTTATAGCGTCTAATATCTAAATATGTAAACAAAAGTTTGGATTTCCTGGTCCAGGGTTCAGTCTTTTAGAGCTTCTACTATCTAAGTATGAAAAATATAGTTAAGATTTCTACCACCATGGGTTCTGTTTACAGTTTTTAGTATTTGAATGTGAAAAAATATAGTTTGAATTTTCACACCATAGTTACAAACTATAAAATTTTGTTAGATCAAATTAAAGAAATATATTGAGGATTTTGACCTTTTAAGTGTTAAATATTTATAAATTTGAAAGTAAAGTATGGATTAAAACCAATTCTGTTCAAAGCTTCCGATATCTTGATTGGAAAATATATTTATATTTTCTTTCAATTTGATCTTAGCTTCTCCATTTCATTATCTAAATCCTCAAGTTCTATAAAAATGCGTAATTGCCTAATTGTTTATTGCCAGTAAATGTCAAAGCAAGAGAACAAATTGGACAGAAATTATTTCAGGCCTGTCTGGGCCATAGAGTTTTTTTTAGAGAGAAGATTGTAAAATGCTTACCAAAGATAAATGCAGTAAATGAATATTATCAACTATGATTACACTAGACTGGGTGATATTAGTAAATGCTTGTAATCTGGTCCTAATCATGCAACTACTGGACTGGTTGGAAGTAGTTTGCTGTTTAAATTAATTTTTTTCAGATATAATTTTTCAAATCAGACGAATATCCATTTCATTTAAATTGCACTTTTAAGATTTTAAATCAATACTCACTCAGAGTCAGCGCTCTAAGGTCTTTAGATATTGCTTTCATTTATCTTTTTAAAATATTTTATAAAAAATATATCTGGAAGAAAATGTTCGAAGAACAACTTTTTTGTACGGTTTTAGTGTGGTAGCATCGAAATTGATTTAAAGATTGAAATAAATAATCTTGTAGATCATTTCAAATTCAAGATGTAATTGTCAGGAAAACATGAAACAATTCAAAACTGTTGAAAATAAATTCAACCATAAATAAAAAATGGCATAAATATGAAGTTTCGTGAGCTGGTTGTTGAAAACTGGATTTCTCTGAAAGTTATAAATATTTGAATCGACAGAGATGATTTCTCACTGGATTCATCAGAGAGTTAAAGAGACTGAGCTGAAAACTTTAGAATAGGATGGCCTGAATTGGATAGCCTGAATTCGATAGCCTGAATTTGATAGCCTGAATTGGATAGCCTGAATTGGATAGCCTGAATTGGATAGCCTGAATTGGATAGCCTGAATTGGATAGTCTGAATTGGATAGCCTGAATTGGATAGCCTGAATTGGATAGCCTGAATTGGATACCTTGAATGGGATACCCTGAATTGGATACCTTGAATTGGATACCTTAAATTGGATACCCTGAAATGGATAGCCTGAATTGGATACCCTGAATTGGATACCCTAAATTGGATACCCTGAATTGGATACCCTGAATTGGATATCCTGAATTGGATACCCTGAATTGGATACCCTGAATTGGATACCTTGAATTGGATACCCTGAATTGGATACCTTGAATTGGATACCTTGAATTGGATACCCTGAATTGGATACCTTGAATTAGATACCTTGAATTGGATACCCTGAATTGGATACCCTGAATTGGATACCCTGAATTGGATACCCTGAATTGGATACCCTGAATTGGATAGTCTGAATTGGATAGCCTGAATTGGATAGCCTGAATTGGATAGCCTGAATTGGATACCCTGAATTGGATACCCTGAATTGGATACCCTGAATTGGATACCCTGAATTGGATACCCTGAATTGGATAGCCTGAATTGGATACCCTGAATTGGATATACTGAATTGGATATCCTGAATTGGATACCCTGAATTGGATATCCTGAATTGGATAGCCTGAATTGGATACCCTGAATTGGATAACTTGAATTTCCATCGTTTAATCTGAATAACCACTGTGGAAACTTATGATTTTTTTAATCCTCTCTTTTTGTACACTCTGATTGGTTATAGAATTTTAGGCACTTTAGTGGATAAAGATTATAATAATCTGAAGATTACCAAAAAGAGGACAGCATTGACCCTTCAGGCAAAGATGATGTTCCCTGATTCCCAACAATATACCTTTTAAAAGCTTTGTCTAATTGAGTTTGAATTCTATATCAATATTTATAATTTTAAAAACTGATTAATTTCAATTGCGAATAATCAGATAAAACTTTCAAGGGTACGTTGTGAATCTTTGCATGGAGGGTCACTTGAAATTGCGCTTACACTCCCTTTAAAATGCAACAAAAACGTAAATGCATTTTTAATCTCAAATATTTTCAGCAACCACTGTTTTGTTCAGGATAAGGAATATATCCAGATGTAAAAAATAAACTTTTTTCAATGTTTAATAAAATTCTTTTATTCCTTACTTTTTATTATGCGTTTACACTATTAAAAAACTCTAAAGTACACTCTTGAAAATAAAAAATAAACTCTAAAGGGCTCTATAAAGAGAAAAAATACTTAAAATTGCTTTTTAATTTTTTTGATTTAAAGTACCCTCTACAGATAAATCACAATTTAAAGTACACTCTACAGATAAATCACAATTTAAAGTACACTCTACAGATAAAAAAAAATTTAAAGTACCCTCTACAGATAAATCACAATTTAAAGTACACTCAACAGATAAAACACAATTTAAAGTACACTCTACAGATAAAAAAAAATTTAAAATACACTCTACAGATAAAATACTATTTAAAATTGACTCTACAGATAAAAAACAAAACAACAGATAAAACACAATTTAAAGTACACTCTACAGATAAAACAGTACACTTTACAGATAAAACACAATTTAAAGTACACTCTACAGATTAAAAACAATTTAAATTACGCTTTACAGATCAAAAACAATTTAAAGTACCCTCTACAGATAAAACACAATTTAAAGTACACTTTACAGATAAAGCACAATTTAAAGTACACTCTACAGATAAAACACAATTTAAAGTACACTTTACAGATAAAACACAATTTAAAGTACACTCTACAGATTAAAAACAATTTAAATTACGCTCTACAGATCAAAAACAATTTAAAGTACCCTCTACAGATAAAACACAATTTAAAGTACACTTTACAGATAAAGCACAATTTAAAGTACACTCTACAGATAAAACACAATTTAAAGTACACTTTACAGATAAAACACAATTTAAAGTACACTCTACAGATTAAAAACAATTTAAATTACGCTTTACAGATCAAAAACAATTTAAAGTACCCTCTACAGATAAAACACAATTTAAAGTACACTCTACAGATAAAACACAATTTAAAGTACACTCTACAGATAAAACACAATTTAAAGTACACTCTGCAGATAAAACATAATTTAAAATACACTGTACAGATTTAAAACAATTTAAATTACGCTCTACAGATCAAAAACAATTTAAAGTACCCTCTACAGATAAAACACAATTTAAAGTACACTTTTCAGGTCAAAAAAATTTAAAGTACACTCTACAGGTCAAAAACAATTTAAAGTACACTTTATAGATCACAAAAGTTTAAAGTACGCCTTCCAGATCAAAAACAATTAATTTAAAGTATACAGATAAAAACTCTTACACTACACATGAAAATACTCTTTCTGTTATAAAGGGTTTTTTTCGCCTAAAATATTCCTAAGTGCAATCTAAAGTACACTCTAAAGTACACTAGTTATCCAACCTGCTCGGAAGTACACTCCAAGGATGGGTCCTCTCTTCTCCACCAGTCTGACTCGTACATACCAACAATCAACCATTGAAACTTCTCTCCGTACACTTTCTTCCTGTACGCATCACAAAACACAACACTAAAAAATATTTCTTCAAACATTTTTTATAGTTTTCAAAGTTTATCAAAAAAAAATTAGGAAAACTAGTTAAACCAAGCATTAAAAAAAGTAATTGAGTCTTGGCCACAAACTCCGATTTTCTAATACCTATTTCTTAGCAACTCAACGTTGCAAACCTTAGATATTTCAAACTATAAATTATGACAGATCAAATAATTTAAGTTTAAGATATCAAACGTTGACAGTATCATGTTGCAAAGATACAAGGGTTTGGAAAACTTGTTGTTAATGACAAAGATTGTCTTCCCCAGTTAATCATTTCTTGAATCAAAATAGTTTGCTTTCATTTTGGGGTTACTATTTTGGGGTTACTTTTTGAGGGTTAGTATTTTGGGGTTACTATTTTGGGGTTACTATTTTGGTGTTACCATTTTGGGGTTACTTTTTGGGGGTTAGTATTTTGGGGTTACTATTTTGGGGTTACTATTTTGAAGCTTTTTTCATCCTTTCATGAGCGGATGCACTTTGGAGAAACCTACTTCACCAATTCATCCAGAGAACGACAGTATTTTACCGTTTTACACTAGTCCTAACCTCATCTGGATGTGTATTGTGTATTGTGTATTGTGTACGTTTGTACGTTTTTGCAAAACTGATATAAATGAATACAATATTTACAGAGGGGTTCTTCAGGACTCTCAGACTGTACTTGAATATATTAAATTTGAAAAAGCTATTCTCTATATATTTACATTTAATTCTAACCATGCCTCCTGGTCCAGGTTCAATTAATCCTTTATTACCTGGTTCAGGTCTGATTAACCCTATCCTATCTGGCCCAGGTTTAATTACCCCTATATTACCTCGCCTAGGTTTAATTAACCCTATTACATGTCCCAGGTTTAATTAACCCCATATTACCTGGTCCAGGTTTAATTAACCCTATATTACCTGTCCCATATTTAATTAACCCTATCACCTGTCCCAGGTTTTAATAACCCTATTTTACCTGTCCCAGGTTTAATTAACCCCATATTACCTGGTCCAGGTTTAATTAACCCTATATTACCTGTCCCATATTTAATTAACTCCATATTAAATGGTCCAGGTTTAATTAACCCTATATTACTTGGCCCAGGTTTAATTAACCCCATATTACCTGGTCCAGGTTTAATTAACCCCATATTACCTGGCCCAGGTTTAATTAACCTCATATTACCTGGTCCAGGTTTAATTAACCCTATATTACCTGGCCCGGGTTTAATTAACCCCATATTACCTGGCCCAGGTTTAATTAACCCTATATTACCTGGCACAGGTTTAATTAACCCCATATTACCTGGTCCAGGTTTAATTAACTCTATGTTACCTGGTCCAGGTTTAATTAACCCTATATTACCTGGTCCAGGTTTTATTAACCCTATATTACCTGGTTCAGGTTTAATTTACCCTATATTACCTGGTCCAGGTTTTATTAACCCTATATTACCTGGTCCAGGTTTAATCAACCCTATATTACCTGGCCAGGTTTTATTAACCCTATATTACCTGGTCCAGGTTTAATTAACCCTATATTACCTGGCCCAGGTTTAATTAATCCTATGTTACCTGGCCCAAGTTTGATTAAAGTTTCCAAGAATGATTCTCACGTCGTTCTCCATCATGGCGTCGAGCTGCGTCGTCAACTCGTCATTGAAACTCTGCGACACAACGACGTCGAAATCATTTGATTCGAGTTCCATAATCAAATCGTTGTGTGCCTAAAAAGACGATTAAAGTACGATAAAACAACACATGTCATGAAATGGAAAAAACAAATTACTTTTTAATCTTTCATCATTTATTTACTTAATAGAGTTTTATATATTGGACCAGCAGGAAACCAAATATATAATTATATATATACAATATACATTTGTAGAATATTGGCATGGGTATGAATCTATCTAAGAGTAATGTATGCCTAGGTTGCCAAACTAGATTATATCCCACTCTACAATATCTTCTTGTAATTCACATTTGGAATCAAATTAAATTTTTAATAACTTTAATTTCATTTTTTGGTCGATACAGTGAGAACCAGAAAACTGTACAACAGAAAGACGAAATTTAAGCAATGATTAAGTGTAAATTATGTTGTTTAAAAGCAAACAGTTTTACTAGAAACGTATCTTATCCTTAATGGGTTTGTTTACACTGCAATGCTGTGTCTCATCTTTAATGGACTATTTAAAGTAATAAAATTAGTCTAAAAGTCGTCTTCCTATTCCCGAGTTTTATGGTCATCACTCTTATTTGAGATTAAATGGGATACTTGAGGCGGTAAATCGTTTTAAAAATATAGAAAATCCTTTTGAATTTATAAAAATGCGTACTTCTAGCGTCTCTACATTTTTTTTATTTCATCAAGCTATTCTTAACAATCGATTTCCAATTGATCAATGAAAATCATACTTTATTATCCTCTTTTATAGTAAAATTTACAGTTTTCCTATAACAGCCTTTTTTATTTTTGTAATCTAATAAAACAAAACAAAAAAGCTATTACAAAATAAAATAAAACATCTAAAAATGAGCTGTAGGGTGAAACCTGAAACATACAGGGTGAGTTAAAAAAAAGTGTGATTTACGGCGCCTGGTACAAAAGTGTACTTTTTTTCGTGCAACTCTTCTGTATGGAAATTTTTCAATATTTTTTATATTTTTTTTTATTTTTTGGTACTCCAATTGCCAAAAAAAAATCCGCGAACTTTTTTTCTCTAAAAATCAAAAGTTTAGCAAAATGTGTTTATAAATAATTTCTATCGAAATCTAAAATTTTTTAAAGATTGAACCACAGAATCACAAAAAATTGGTAAAATTGTAACAAAGAAAATTCGCAATTTTTAGTCCTGTTCTAATTTAAAGGAAAAATTGTTTTTCAATGGTTCTTCAAGTTTCAACTGAACAGCGTATATTTTTTAACTTTTGAATATACTGAGAAGAAAGGAACTAGAGAATTCAAATAACTTTTCCTTAAAAATTAGACCAAAACTGAAAATTACGAATTTTCTTTGTTACAATTTTGCCAATTTTCTGTGATTCTGTGATTTAATCTTTATAAAATTTTATATTTCGATAGAAATAGTTAATATACACATATTTGCTTTTCTAAACTTTTGCTTTTGGGAGATAAAAAGAGTTCGTGGATTTTATTTTGGACCATAAGAGTACCAAAAAAATACAAATTTTCAAAAAATATTGAAAAAACACCATACAGAAGAGTTGCACAGAAAAAGGTACACTTTTGCATCAGGCACCGTAAATCACACTTTTTTTTGACTCACCCTGTATATATATTTTTTGACTCACCCTGTATGTAGTTAAAGAGAAAATAGATGCAAGAATAGAAGAATAGAAATAAAATAAAATAGAATAGAATAAAATTAATAGAAAAGAATAAAATGATTATATAATAAAAGTAATGTATGAAAATATAATAAAATTACTTTAGAAGAATAGAATAAATATAGAATAGAATGAATTTAGAATAGAATTAAAATGAAATAGAATGAAAAAGAATAGAAAGAAAATAGAATAGAATAAAAATTAATAGAAAAGAATAAAATGATTATAGAAATGAATAGAAATATAAAAGAATTACTTTAGAAGAATAGAATGAGCATAGAAAAGAATGAATATAGAATAGAATGAATATAAAATAGAATGAAGCAATAAAGAATATTTAGAAGCAAAAACGAATATTAAATATAATGACAAAGAATGTAATAGACACAATATCTAACAGAATTAAAGAAATATAAAATAAATGGATAAAAAAGAATAGAAGAATTATTAAAAAGAATATCAAAAAAATTTCAAAAATGAAATAGAAGTCTCTAGGATGGAATAGAAAAAAAATATTGAAGAAAAGAACAAATATATTTTTGTATTTGTATTTGTTACAAATTTTAGAAACAAGCAAAGTAATATTTCCAGATTTCTAAACCACTGTTTTAGTTCCCAGGCCTTTTCTTTACAGAACAATTATTTACCCTTGCTCTATTTTAAGTATTTTTAACCTCATTAAACTGAGAGGGTTACCCTCAACAAAGATGAGACTTGAATAACGACATCAAATATGTTGTCAAGTACAATAGGTGGCAACACAGAATGCGTACACTTTCAGTGTCGACTCAAATTCTGTGTTTGAAAAACTATAAATAAAAGTGATATTTTTAGACCTAAGTGCTTTTATTTTTTAGTGAAATATTTTTGGCGTTATTTTTTTTCTGTTTTTACACTTTATCAATTGATGTTCTATTGACTAAATAACGGGGCTGAAACGGATAATGTACATAACCCTTTAATATTGTAATTGGAAAGATTGGAAAGTATAACGTTAAAACATATTTCAGAAATGTTTAATGATATATTCGGGAAGTCCCCAGATCCGGAGGAAATACAGGCAACAAGAAAAGGTAATTTTCTAATGAAAAGTCGTCTATGTAGATGTTTATTATTTACAGGGTGTCCCAAACAAAAATTTTCAGTAATGGTATTTTGCACTGAGGCAACACTTTTGATTAAATTTTCATAATCATGGTATTATTATTATGAAGCTCTATAAAATATTTCATTTATTCTAACTAATCAGTTCTTTAATTATGAAGTATGAGCCGAAAAATCGATTTCCCAGATTTTTCATATTTTGATTTTTTACATATTATTTACATTTGTTCATAAACAACCAACACAATTGGCAATTTTTCGTACATTTTTTTTGAGTCAGCTATGTCTCTTTTTAAGCCAAAATTTTGGATCTGAAAAGTGTTTAATGGAACAAGTTGTATTTTATATTTGAATTTTGCAAATATGGGACCTGTTTGATTTGCTTGTATATTTGTTTTGATAAAAAAGATAGATTTTTTTTCTACAAAATCCATGAAAATGGGGTTACTTTAAAGATATATTATGGACAAGTACTAAGCCAACATTACATTATTATGAACTACGTGATTTTTTGGTTTTCATTGATTATTGTATTTTTTTATTTAGGGATAGACGAAGAACTTGTTTCGTGCCTGGATGCCGTTCACCCCCTGAGATATCCAGATTTAAATTCCCTGAGAAAAAAAAGAAAAAGAAAATGGGCCTCAATTCTTCGTAAATTGTCCAGACTTATGAAATCCAATGATTCTAGTACAATAGATGGCAACGTAGAATTTGTTCACTCTCAGTACAGTTGTATTCTAACACCACTATTATCAATTCAGTTTTTGTGTCCGACAAAATTGTTAATAATAGTAATAGTTTTAGAATAAAGTGCTTATCTTACAGTAAAATAAGTGCAATTAACTGTATTCTTTATTTTTTGGTTTTACTCTTTTCTATTTAATCTTGAAAACATGTCAACTAATGTGAGAAAATTTCGTTTTTCTTGTTATATTTGACACTTATGACGTCGTGTATAATTGGTTAATTTCTCTCTTGCCACCTATTGAACTTGATAATCTATTTGATGAAATCCGTGTGTGCTTCCCACCTTGTGCAAATACGGCTTTTCCGAAGAATAAGGCACCTCAATGTAGTAGTGAACAAACTCGGTCATTAAATGATAAGAAATTTGTAACAAAAAGGTCAGCTTATTTTTTAATAAATGATTATTAATATTATTTTTCTTATTTTGTTGTTGTTGTTGTTGTGTATGATGATATAATGTGTATACTTCAGTATAATTTAACCTACCAAAACTCCATTACTTTTAAGACAGAGAAATCAATTTTTTTTGTAAAATGATATAATTTAAGAATACATAGAGAATGAGTAGAGGACGGCCGTAAGATGTAACAATTTTTAATCTGAGGATAAGCGCCCTAAAATATAATTTGGTAAATGTACAAATTGAACACATAATGAAGCAATTATGCAAATGACAAACTATTAACACTAAACCATGGAACTTCAATTTGAACCAGTTTGGAAAACAATGTTTGTTACATTAAGCGAGAGAGGGGGGGGGGTGGAGGGGTCTGAGGATATGTTAGAATTTGGTGTTACAATAAACATAGAATATATCGATTTTGTTGAAAAAACTAAGTGTTACAAAGATATTTAAATCCCCCCCACCCACCCTCCATCCCCCCATCCCCCCCAGGGATCCAAAGGTGGCGAGCGTTCATGCAAGAATCATTTTTGTAAATACATTCATTTATTATTTTACTTTTAATTATTTTTACTCTGTATTTGGAGATATTTGGAGACGTTTTGGTTCAAGATTTTTGAAAATTTTCTCTTTGAAATTTTAAATTTTAAATTCATTTAATCCTAATTAAATAGTATTCTTAGATTTTGAGTGATGATTGCCAAACCCTATTTGTGAAATTAGGCAGAAAAACAATTCCGAACTTTAATCTAATAATATTTCAAAAACAAAAACTACAAAAACTTTTGAATTTTGTAAAGGAAAACACTGTGCTTGCAGCAGATATATTTTTTTCTTTCTTTTCTAATTAAATTCCATTGAATAAAATTCATTAAAGGGAGTGTTCACGAAAAATGAAAGGGGGTATAGGCTTACGGCGAAAATTAATCGCTTTTTATTGCAACTAATCTTACTTCTATCTGTTGCGTCTGTAAAGAGAAAATTATAAAAAAATAAACTACTCATACCGAAGAACGTAGAGTCCTTACAAATTCAGAAAGTTGCAATATACGCCTCGTATTGTAAAATAAGCAATTTAATTTCAAACAAATCATTCAGATATCACAACCTAAAGTCAGCGATTATTTCGTATATTATAGTTGATATTTCATAATATTTGTTTTATTTCAATGCACATAAAACAACTTTTTTTCCGCTAGATGTAATCATTCAAAGCATCGAGTGCTGAGACATCTGCGACCAACTACTTCGACGTTTTAAGCCTATACCCCCTTTTCCTTTAAGTGCTTGCTTTTGACTTTCAAGAGACAAAAAAACTAGAATTTTTGCTACATTCGTAATTGTACAAAATATTTCTAATCTTAATCTAAACTGATGGACATGATAGTGTAGACAGGATAGTGTAGACAGGATATTGTAGACAGGATAGTGTAGACAGGATATTGTAGACAGGATAGTGTGGACAGGATATTGTAGACAGGATAGTGTGGACACCCCAGTGTGGACAGGATAGTGTGGACCGTATAGTATGGACAGGATAGTGTGGACAGTATAGTATGGACAGGATAGTGTGGACAGTATAGTATGGACAGGATAGTGTGGACAGTATAGTATGGATAGGATAGTGTGGACAGTATAGTATTGACAGGATAGTGTGGACAGGATAGTGTGAACAGGATAGTGTGGACAGTATAGTGTGGACAGTATAGTATGGACAGGATAGTGTGAACAGGATAGTGTGGACAGTATAGTACCGACAGGATAGTGTGGACAGTATAGTATGGACAGGATAGTGTGGACAGTATAGTATGGACAGGATATAGTGTGGACAATTATGGTAATATTAAACACAGAATATGTGGAATAAAACATTCTGTTTTTGCTTTCTGCCTTTTTTAAAAGAGAAAAACTATTTAAAAATAAAAATGTTAAGGGATCTGTTCTCACAGCTATCAATATCAAGGAATTATAGAATAAGAGAATAACCTTCTTCTAAAATTTTAGGTGAAGGAACTCTAAACATTATACTTGAAGTGGAATAATATGATTTGTATTTGTTTGATACAGACTGTATGGGTTCTCACAACATTGGCGTGTTAGGGTTTTAAAAGCCATTAAAACTTTTCCAATCAGTATCAAACATTCAGGATATTTGCATCTCTTTTGGCGGAGAGAAATATTAGGTAAGGGAAGCTATTTTTACTCTAATTTAAGGTTAATTATCAAGTATTTCTAAGAATTTGTATAAAACCATGAAATATGTTTTTTAAACAGGATAATACATATAAATAGAACTTTTGCGTTGAATTCTTTAGATTAAGCAATAATCTCCATCTTGATCCTTAAATTCAAAAGAATCATATGGGATTTCTAGATCAAACGTTCAAGATTAACAATAATCCACACAAAACTTTTGATCTTCTAATAAAACGGCATTCTCAAAACACAAATTCATTTAAAGAATCAGACAGTAAAAAAAATAATAATTTTCTAAAATAAAAACTTTAAAACTTACCAAAGAATAACGAGCTTCGTTCTGATATAAGGTACCAACACGTGTCCAGTTGAACTGGCGGAGCAGGGCTAGCCGGGGATTGTTAAACTGGTTTTCAGATGGAACCACGCGGAAGAAATGCGGGAAGCTACGGGCAGTGAACATCGGGTGAGTGTCAGCATATGTTACCTGAATATAATTTTATATGAAAAAAAAAACATATATTGCCTAAAATATAAGTAGAAACATAGTGTTTTTATGTCAAAATTAAGCTTTGCTTTTCTAATTTTCAAAATTACAAATTATGTTATGAAAATATTCACGACTTGAATATACAGACAAGCAGGCAAAATAAGAGGGTTTTAATGGTTATCAGTGTAATCAATGGTACATCAAAATACAGTCTCTTAAGACATTGTTTGTTAATTATACAATTTGATTTATTTTACATCAATGGTAGATATCCAGAGAAGGTTGAATTCTTTGTCACAACTAATTTGTCATTTAAATTGCTTTTGGAGCATACATTTCTAAGGTTCTAGTGGGGCCTCCCGAATTTAAGTGTTTATTTCAAAATGATATTCTTATTAAATCTTATTTGTAAGTGTTAGAGACTAGATGTTTGATGTTTAGAAGTTTTATCTTGATTTTATCCATTAAAATTCATTTCTCCATCTTTAAAGATAAAACAGGCACCAGGATTAAACAGAATGGTAATCGTCAAAATAAACAGGAAATGCAGTTACCTCAGAAAATGCAATGAAAAAAAAAGAAAAAAGAAAAACCAAAAAATAAAGAAAGAAAGAAAGAAAGAAAGAAAGAAAGTAAAAAAGAAAGAAAGAAAGAAAGAAAGAAAGAAAGAAATAAAGAAAGAAAGAAAGAAAGAAAGAAAGAAAGAAAGAAAGAAGAAAGAAAGAAAGAAAGAAAGAAAATAAGAAAGAAAAAAAAGAATATATATATGGGAAAACAAATTAAACCATTAAAAGAAACAACTTTCCAAAGAAACGCAATTAAACATCTGACAAAAACATAAAAAATAAAAATTAATTATCAAAAAACTTTCATTTCCAGGATACTTGCAAATTTTTCAATAATACTGTCCACGTTATTTCAGTATCGGCCTAGGTTTGTGCTAAAATAAAGTCGCTGTAATTCAATTCTAAATTGGATAATTCTCTGTTTTTTTGCAGCAGCGATAAGGAAGGACACTTACAGAATAGATCTCTTTTTAAACACGATAATTGTTAACTGTGAAATGGAATATTTGTATATACTCTTTAAATGGCGGGTTACTTTAAATTATGTAAAATTGGTCCCTTTGAGCTTAATCAAATATTTATCCCTCTCCAGGAGTTTACAGACATACATCCTACAGTAGCAAAAGTCATCGAATTACTGACAAATCTGAGGAAAACTAAGAAAAAAACATTTGTTTTCCTCAGATATTTTAATAATTTGATGATTTTTGCTTTAGTGCGCGCCACATAGAAGGCTCTAAATTTGACATAGAACAATTTTTATTTTGATGACTGTTGAGTAAAATCTCATTTATAATTGGATTTTTTTCTGAGAATAAGATAACTTATTAAGAACGATGTATTAGACCGGCTCAAATGAAGCATTCATAAATCTAGCTAAAAAAAGAGTTTTTTTTTTACATTTGCCAATAATATTTAATGTAAAAGCTAAAACAAATTTCGTCAGTTTGGCTAATCAAAACTATAAGATCTGCACAGGCTACTTGGACTAAAATTTGCGATTTTTTTCCCTTCACTTATCTGAACAGAGACAGTAAAATAGGGGTAACAGAGTTCTTTTTTCAATTTTCTGTTTTAAAGTATCATTTTTAAAGGACTTTTCATAAAAGGTCGGATAAATTTTCACATTTTACTCCAAAACTCTGGGAGCAATTCCAAAACCCTGAGAGCAACCACCCCTCCCTCAAAGCAAGAGAATTTGATGATAATCTGTACACAAAACGTCCTTCATATCCTTCATACAGTAAAACATTAAAGATAAAAATGTTCCTCTTCAGTTTTGATTGGAAAACAGAGTGCATTTTTCTGATATGACTGAAATTTTTCAGATATAGAAACTTTGTTAAAATTATCAAAAAAAAAAAAAAAACAGGTTGATGAGGTTTGGCGTTTGCACCCCCTCTCCCGCCCCCCTGTTATTTATGCTATACCACTCTCAGTTTTGACATTATAAGCTTAAAATTTCTTGATTTTTACATTATTTTGATGCAAAAGATCTATTTATATATGTTCAATGTCACGTCTTATCATCTGTCAAAAAAATAAATTTGTATTTTATAAAATAATTTTAGAATTTTTTGCCCATTTTTTAAAGCTTCCCTACCTATATAACAATTAAATTTAGCGGTCTATTTTTCTCTAAATATACATCTACTCTTGTAAGCCTTTTTTAGGGGTAGGGGCTGGAAGCTTTCTCCAGGCCATTAATAGATTCAAACCCCCTTAAATATATTAGATTCAGACCCCCTTAAATATATTAGATTCAGACCCCCTTAAATATATTAGATTCAGACCCCATTAAATATATTAGATTCAGACCCCATTAAATATATTAGATTCAGACCCCC